TGCCAGCACGGCGTGGGAGCAGGCAGACTTCGGGGGGGAACAATACACAACCACAGCGCAAGCACATGGGAGGCTCTCTGAGATAGCAATGATTAACACGCACGTCCAAAAGAACTTTGCAGAAAATATGTTTCGACGGGCGTCGAGGCGAGACACTCGCCGATCCTGACGATCCCGCGTAATGCTTCCCAGTGACTACCGGTGCGAGAGCGGGACGAGGACGACAACCTCGGAACAGAAGTGAGGCTCGCAAGGCGATCGATGGGGGCCGCCGCCGTCCACGGGTCGATCCTCGAACTGCGGGCGAGTGCCTGTCGATCCCGACGAGCGACACACGTACTCGTACGAGGTACCGTGACGGTGAATGTGACTGCCAACCACCACGAGGACAGAACAACATCCACCCTGGGGCCGGGAGTGTGTTGAGAAGGCTGTGCGTGCGGCTTTCACCAATCCCCCGTTGTCAACCTTATCCTCCACTCTTGATACTTTTTGACTAAATCGCGGGTGTGGAAGCCGGTTTCAAGAACCGACGACACACAACAGTCGCCGACCAAGAGGCTCGACGGATGCGGCGCGCGGCGTAAGTGGAAAGATTGTCACCAGGTTTCCCTGGAGAAAAGGATGCGGGATGCGGGATGCGAGATGCGAGAGGCTCGATCACGAAGTACAACGCAGCCAGGACGCTGGAGAGAGGACACAAGACCGCTACTCTCCTTCCGTGTAGCCGTGACTGACTGACTGACCATCAACGCCAATGGCGTCGCCGATCGTTGGTGGAAGGGCTACTACCGTATGACCCCGTCTCCTCTCGCCCTGCTGCCACACCCGGCCAGACCACGGGTGTGTCTGCTTTTGGGCGGCGTTGAAATTTGGGTCATCAATCAATCCTTGTTCGTAAGGTGCACGTCCACCACGCTTCTACCATCCCAGGCTAGTTTCTCTATCCGGGGATTCTTGTTCTGTCAGAGCCGAGAAACAGTCCCCGAACAGCGTCCAACTTCGGTTCGACGCCGGATGCAAGTTCGGAAAGCCCTGGAATTACAGGACGAGACGGGACACCCATACGCCGGCCAGGGAACGCGTGGGTCTGTGTCTTGTCGAAGGAGAAGTCCGTTCGAGACAACCACTGATGAGAAAAAAAAGATATGTCGACTCCGTTACCTCAGCTTTTGTTTTGGTACGTACCAATGTCGCGGCGTCGTGCTCGATCTGCTACATGACTGGATGGGCGGCACCTCGTCCACATAATTTTGGATCAGGTTGACGTCGAGGTCCTGACTTGTTGCCACTGTGGGACAGCTGGGAGGCTGGTCGTCGAACCAATTACTTACTGTACGAAGTACCGTACTTGATCATCTCTACCCCGAGTCTCCTCCGCTTGTGTCCATCACACCAACATAGATTGAAAAGGGCTCATTGTGTGTATATGAATCAGCTTCGCCAATCGCGGGCACTGCAGACGCAAATGACCCGGAAAAAGTCAAGTCGGTATGAGACTTTACCAATGGCGGTCCCGCCAGCTTCGCATCGGCCGGCAGGCAGGGATTTTGAATTTGGCACACGTAAGCATGAGATGTTACAGGTTGGTGCAAGAAGGTAGGTCGGTGAGAAATCTCACGATAGAGTCACCACCGGCGGAGAATATTCTTGAGGCCGAATTTGTATCGGCCGAACATGGGCTGCGCACCAGCTCTCCGGTCGTCGTGGATATCGCACAAAGGTATTCTTCCCCATACCAAACCAGGGTCAGAAGGTGTATCACTTGTGCGGAAAGTCGGGAAGACGCCAGACTCACTGACGGAGAGAAAGCAGATATTCTCGATGAAAAATGTACGGCTACCGAGAAGAGCTTCGTCACGAGCTACCTAGCCTCCTCGACGGCAACAAATTCGAGCGGGGTGAGGTCGGCATTTCAGGCACGAACGAGCATCTCAAGGGCGGATGTGAGTCGGTGTCAGAGCTCGACAAGAGAGGACCCTAGGAAACCCCAGACCAGTACAACAGAAGGGGGCAAATCGAACAGAGAACTACCCGCCTTTACCGATGTAAGTGCGTTCAGTCAATACAGATGGAGACATCACAGACAATGCTCGACGTCGTGATATACTGAAACATCGACTTATCACCACGAGTTCATCTTCACCCAAAGCGCAGGTATTTGCATCTTGAACGTATCGCAGCATGTGCCATGATTCATCGCTCTCATGAGCAGTACACTCTTGAGGAGTACACTCTTGAGGAGTACACTCTTGAGGAGTACACTCTTGAGTAAAGCCGATCACTTTCCTCCTCAGAAGAACAAATCTCGGGGTCATTGATCGAGGTTCCCCAAGTTCGGGCTGGAATCCCTCGCATGCATTCGGGCTGAAATCTCTCGCGTCCGCCCAGACCATTCCCTCATTGCCGGCACTGACCATGTCGGAAAAGACACCCGACAAGGACGGTCTTTGTTCCTTACCCATCCGCTGGCCACCCCCTTTTCCTTCTGACCTGTCAAAACAGTGGCATCGCATGGTTGACAGGGAAGCCACGTCGACCATTGAGCGAAACGCCTCTCCCGCTCCGGTGGCGTAAACGGGCGGATGAGGTAAGTCGTGTTGACGGTGAGAAGGGAGGGGGGATTTGTTGTTTCACGAAGAGGGCACGCGCAACCATGATGCGAATCCAAGACGTGTACGGAGTAAGCGGTCGATGGACGACCAGGAGCAGCGGCACAGGGTCATTGCTTAATGTTAATGGGGGCAATTGTTCTCTCGTAAAGCCCATGCGAAAGGTGCGACGCGGTGGCCTCAGCCTCAGAAGAAAAGGGGCGCCATCTTTCGGACCTGAACTCTCAGCCTCCAGGCGTCCCAACTGGGGCCGCCATACGTGGATCAACCTACTCCATATACCTACCTCGTAAGTTCGAATTGAGGCTGCCTACAGTCGGACATGGATGTATCGCGTGGATAACAGCTGTTCAGCCTCGAGAGGACGAGTGATTATATCAGATCAATGATGAGCATCGGTGGTGGACGAACAGCGGATGGATTTCCAGTTACGTAATTGAATGAAGAGGCGGGCGGGCGGGCGGGTGAGTAGTAAGGAGTCGAGTAGGTCAGCAGAGGTTAGGAAGGGATTGGAAGGAAAGAAAGAAAGGAAAAGAAAAGGATCAAGCTCGTAGAGCGGGAATGCCTACTCTCCCTGAACATGGTGGGAAAACACATCATCAGCCAGCATAACTTGCAAGTACCATGGTGAGCACGTTTCGAGGATCGGCAGCGTCTCTCTGTCCTGGTTCACGGGATAGTACTCGTCCCTGCCACGACGGGATGTTCCCAAAGAACATCAATCATCCAGCCCGCAACACCGGCCTAGACTTGGTCTACTCGTCGTAGTATACCGAAAAGGCGTGCGAACGGAAACTGAAAACGGACCTGATGGTCGGTCGGTCAGTCGGTCGTCGATCGCTACCTCTGCACGCCACTTTTGAAAAAAATCGACACGAAAAGTGAGGCGGATGATCAGCCGTCAAGCGGGATAGAGTGGAACGAGCAAAGCAGTGCAACGCAGGATAGAGACGAGGAGAGGAAGAAGAAGAAAATGGGGAAGGGAAAGGAAGGGAGAAAGTCTTAACTCGCTTTCGCTCACTCACTCACTCACTCACTTTCGCCTCGATCACCTCGATCGCCTGTCCATCTCCCCATCTCCCCATTTCGCCAGACAGTCAATGAGCCATCACACCAGCCGGCCAGGAGGCAGAATCTATACCCAGAGACGCGCCAGAAGAAAGATGAGCATTGCGTCCTCGAGCCGTTCGCTATTGTAACCTCGTAACCTTTCAACCATGGCTCTAAGTTTTCACATCAGCTGCCCATTTTTCATGCGAGGAAGATCGTGCGAGTAGGAAAGAGTACAGTACTGTAGAGACTTTACATCCTCGACACGTACGCGCGCATGTATGTGTGCGTGCGTGCGTGTATGCATAACAAATCTTCTCGTTCTCGTTCTCGTTCTCGTTCTCGTTCTCGTTCTCGTCTTTCTCTCGCACCGCGATATCTTTCCTATCCTTCCTCCTCTTTCCTTTCCTTCTTCATCATCTCATCTCATCTTGTCCCCTGCCGTGCGGCCCGTCTTGCTTCGCACGTGTGACTAACCCCCGTGGAAACAACATTTCTTGTCTTGCTTTGATTCTTTCTTTCTTTCTTTCTTTCTTTCCTTCGCTCTACCACCTCCCACTCCTGAGGACGATACTGAGACGGTAGCGCAGGCGGAAGCCCCGAACACGCGTGGTCTAGCCTAGGGGAGAAGACACATCTCGATTCGAATCGCCGCGAGGGAACCAAGATTCACTCTTCAGGATCAGTAAGACGAAGAAAAGAGAAGAAAAGAAAAGGAAAAGGAAAGGAAAGGAAGGGAAAAAAAGAAAAGAAATTGAAAGTCCGGTCGAGGAGTTAGGCGTCTATACTCCTGAATACTGTCTACCTATACTCCAATTAGTCACGTAGCCATGTAGTCGAGTCGGGTCGAGTCGAGTTGAGCTCGAAGGAGGACATCGGCCCAGAGTCGAAGAACTTGACTTTACAGACATTTGACTTTTTGAGCTGAGACGAAACCAACCAAACAAAGTGAACAGAGAGGAAGAATGGAATCCACTCGGAAAGTCAACCGCGAGATGATCAAGATTGAAGGGGAAAATTGGCTGCGAAAAGGATGAGCTTGAAGGAAGGACGGTAGAGGAGCAGGCACACAAGAAGACGTCAAGGGGCATCAAGGAAGGCAGAGATGCTCGAGGCAAACATGCTTGAGGCAGTACAGCATACAACACAGTTTCGAAGATTTTTACATTAGTGATTCATCCAGCTCAGGTCGTGCAGAATCCTCGTCCAGAAAATCGGTGTAGCCGAGTGACGAGCGCTAGACATGGAGCAAAAGAGATTTCAAAACACACAGGAACTGATTTTCATTTCTCGTACCTGGAAGGTGACTGATCCTGTATCCTTCAACTATTTCCCCGCTCAAGCACCATTCACTTTCACCTTCACCTTCTCCGTGGCTTCTTCGCCTTCCTGGGAATCGAGTATATCCACGCCCCGTTCGGCGAGAAGCTCACTCGGCGTCTTGTCCTTCATTTCGGGCACGAGCTTGAGGACGACGTACTCCAAGATCGCATAGACGAGATACTTGTTCATTTCGACATCGTCGATCCATCCCAAAAGCCTCTCCTCGATCTCCTCTCGCATCGTCTCGGTTTCGTTCTCAATCCCACCATCGCCGTGCACGGCAAAAAACGTTCGGGCTACCGGTTGAGGTATGAGAGAGAGGATGTCGGAGGCGGCTTTGGAACGGATCTGGCGTGCTTCTTCAGGTGAAGGAGGTGGCGGAGGAGGCGGACCAAGGCTGTTGTTGGGGAAGATGAGGACACGAATCTGCAGTAAGAGAGGTGGGATCAATGCTGCTGAGAACAGGCGAGTCGAGATTGTGTGATACAAGAATCTGTAGTGAGAGGTGTGTTAGCAAAGACGGCCACGCAGCATATTTCGCATATGGGACGAGCAGTGCGGAATGGCCAAGCTGGAGGCAGCGAGACCGTGTAGTAAAGCTGCCTGGGTCACAACTTCCAGGGAACCAGTGTCGCCGACACTTCGTCGCTGCCCGATCAAAGTATTTCCAGTCTCCAGTGACGCAAGGCTCTGGAAACGATCCTTTCAGGCTCGGTTGTTGCCACCACCTTCGTGTGTGCCCAACTTGCCTCCTCGTCTCCTGATACCGCACATCCCTTTGAGCCCAACGCCTTCGAGCCCTGCCTGCCCCACGTGACCCTTTCGCTTTGATTTTGAAGAGGTCGCACTGCATCGGCCGCGACAAGGCGTCCGATGCTCAGGAGACGGAAGGCCTGTGCCGGAAACGGCACGCAGAGACCACGCAGACGAGCATGTGTTCATGGGACTGGCGTTGGCGTGGTTCTTTGCACAAGTGAAGCCGGAAAGTCGTTTGGTCTAGGCCGCTGAGAACCATGGAAAATGCAGGAAAAGCGCCCAATGCACCAGGCGTAGCTCTAGCCCGGAAGAAAAGAGGCAAGAGTGGCTTGAAGTGAAGCGTGAACCGCAAGTTGCTACTAGTTCTTCTGCAAGCAGAAGGCGGCATGTTCGCAGGCGTTGAAACTAGGATCAAGGATCATCGAATCTTCAGCCAGAATGATGCAGGACTCGGGGTGTGGTGCGAGGTGTCCACCCTCGACTGCTGCACAGCGAGTGGTTTTGGGCCTCGAAGCGCCAATTGCAGAGAAAATTAGGTTGGGGTGGAGTTGCTGGCGCAGGATGTGCAGAACAATGCCCAAGCCGAAGTTGGTAAGTCCAGGGTGTCTGGAAGCTGGAGACCCAACTAGCTTTCCTTGTCCACCGCGCTCGGGGGTAACACAGGGTTCCTGGCCGTCCAGAGATCGCATGGTTGTCAGGACTGATTGATAACGTCTTTCGTGCAAGGATAGGTTATCAACCCAACATTGGGGGATGTAACACTCTTGTGACGTAAAAAGAATAATGGCTGGACGGCGATTACCATGGCTGCGTTCAACCGCAATCGGCACGTGCCGGAGGCAGCCGACAATGGCCGCCGAGGAAAGTGGGAGGCCGCGGTCATCAGCCCAGCAGACCACCGAGAGTAAAAGCCACCGGCAGCCAATAGTAGGGAGAAACAGCCATATTTGCGAAAATTCCATCCAGGCGAGGCGTTTCATTGGCGACTGATACCGGAAAATGGCTCTTTTGGTGAGGTTTCGTCCAGCTTGATGGAAACTATGGTTGGAACCGGTGACTGATTCAGTGGCCCAGCGAAGGACCGAAGGGCGTTGTGAGACAAGCCATTGGCCGGAGGTTGGGTCTCTGCCCTTTTTCTGAATTGTTCCCGGAGGGGAAGGCAACGGAGGACAAGGGAAACGTGAGCGGGGCCGATCCATGTCGCCCTCCTTGCTCGACGTTTGGAGCCATTTCCTATAAGCGAGAAAAGGCCAATAAATCCTGGGTCTGGATTGGCCAAATGCACAAATCCTGATGCATTTTCGGTCGGCGGTGCAAATGATCTCTTCTGGTGATCGGCGAGATGGTTCGATCTTGTCGAGATAGCGCTGACGTACCGTGGAGGACAACTTGAGCAAGCAAAGTCCAACCAGCAAAGAGAAGATGCGGCATGTCCATGTCCACCAGACCAAGAGCAGAGTGACCCGAATTGGTTGAATCGGGCAAGGCGCACGAGGTAAAGTCCGTCCAATCAGCGTCGGTATTCGCGGTCCTGACAATACCGTAGCGTTACCGTCATGACAGGTAACGGCTGCGATTGGCTTCTGCGGCGATACCCACACCCTCCTGATTCACACCGAGGATGACGAACAACAGCATTGAATCCCACACATGCTGATATCCGGGATCATTGGCTCACGATGGCTCAGACCTCGTCAGATGACCAACCTTTCATGCAGCATGAAGGATAGTAGGATTCAAGTCTTACCGAGTCCCGGGGACATCGTGCGACAGCACGGATCATGGCCGAAGATTGCGGGCAACCGGCGAGGCTGGAGGACAGACGCGAGATAAGAAAGGACACGGATCACTTACTTGTCCACTGTGGAATTTGCAGCCCCGTACCTGCCTGGGCCCGTGCTCAGAATGTGCTGCCAGAACCCCAATGAGCTTGCCAGCCACGGCATGCGGACCGTCAAATCGAGCATGGCAGAGATGCAGGAGAAGAACCTGTAATTGATCACTGCGCGTGGGGATCGCGCACCGGGGTCCGATGCGTGCCGGGCGGATGAGAGGGGTGGCTTGGTCGAGGACGGCGACGCAGTGGAGCCGTCCAGTTGATGATGGCGGCTCCTCCGGGGCAGATGGTGCGCGTGGGCCAGACCGACGAGAATAAACCGCGCAGACTGATATGCGATGAAAGCGTACTGCAGCAGTCTCCAGCACCATACGCTAAGCAATGATTGGTGACCGTCTGGCGAATTACCCTGCTGAGCAGGCGTATTGGAAGATAATAGGCCGAACTTTTCCAACCGGCTCTGGCGTCCCTCTGGCTGGAGGATATTCTTGTCATCGGCGGAGGGTGCATGACGGGAAGTCACGATCTCCACAACCTTGGAGGCGGTGCCGTGTAGAAACCATGGTTGACAGAGTTTCTGCGCGAGTGCCTGTCCCAGGATCAGGTCGGAGATGATGTCGCTCACCAAGGTTCTGAGACATGCGTTCGCCAGGTCTTCGGTTGGAAGGAGGACCGCCAGCGCCCCCTGAATGAGTAGTTGTCTATAGGCCGACTCGTAGACTTGTTGCTGTTCCGGTGGCAGCGACGGGTCGAGGGCTGGATGTGGATTCAAGGCGTGATAGATCCGTCGGGGACTTTCCCCATACTGCAGAGCGGCTTGAGCAGTGGTCGCTGTGCGGTAGGCTGTGCGGGAAAGCTGTCAACACAAGAGACGGCAATCCTCGTCACGAGTCTGCTGCTCACCATGAATATGTCTTTCCACCAGCACCGGCAGCTCATCCAATACCAATTCCGTGATATCAATCTGGCGTATTCTCTGTTCCAATGCGCGACTGCAATGAGCAATGATCTGAATGACCTCGTCCACGAATGCCCTGTCCGGGGTGATCTTGGAGTACCACGAATTCACAAAGTCCTTGATGACTATGGCGACGATGGCATAAAGCTGCACATCTACGTCGTTGGAACTGGTAAGCGGAGGTAAGATTCCTTCAATCGGCGCCGGCGACAGCCTTGTGTCTGCCCCATTACTCCCATCTGCCACCAACGTCCTTCTGATCAGGGACAACGTCGCCCTCTCCGACGTTGGGTCTGGAACGGGCGCATCTTGACGGAGTCTGGCATGGGGAGGTCTCTGAGAGGCCGACCGAGAGCCCGAGGTAAGCTTGCTGTCTGCGACGGCGGTCAATTGAGAGGACTGGGCGGTCGACGAGGCCTTGGTCGCAATGGCAGGAAAAGGCGGTCTTGAGGGCGAGGAACTTGGGGCGGTCATATCAGGACCACACTGCGCGGGAGCATGGCGAACGTCTTTGTACTTGTTCAAACGACGTTTGCGCTGGCCACGCTGGCAATGCAGGGGGCGGTAGGGCACCAGAGATTTGCTCACACCGGTTTCGATGACAGCAGGGTGTGTCGAGGATGTGTCAATGCGTGATTGGTGGGCGTGGAAAGGCTGCGTTCGCGAGCAGGCGACGAGTAGGAGCGAGAGATGGCGACTTCGAGGGTTGGAGAAGCTCTCGGGCCACTTGCCCCTTTCGGTCTATATCAAAGGCCCGCTGTGGTGAGGTGAGACAAAGGTGAGAGCTCAGTGGGTGGTGTCAGTGTGCCCGCCTCTGAGACAAGAATCTTCCGTGCCGCGCTGCAACATGGGCGTCGACGCGAAGATCCCGGTCTGGCTCGACTGTGATCCGGGTAGGTCTACATCAGCGCCGGTCTCTCCGCGCCGCGTATGCTCATGACCACCAACAGGTCATGATGTGAGTCGTTCCATCTCCAGCGTACTCTCCTCCAGGCGGTCTACAGCAGAGTCTCACAGTGGCTACCTAGGATGCCTGTGCTATCCTCCTCGCCGCATACCACCCTTCCCTCAACCTCCTCGGAGTGAGCACAGTGCACGGCAATGCGCCACTGTCGAAATGTACAGTCAATGCTTTGAGTGTCCTGGAAGCGATCGGAAAACCTGAAATCCCCGTCTTCCCCGGCTCGCCCAAGCCATATTGCCGGACCGTCCACAGCGCGCCTGATATCCACGGAGCAAGCGGACTAGCTGGGACGGATCTGCTCCCCGAACCGAGTCGGTATGCGCTGACGCATTGCAATGCCATCTTGGAGATAAAAGAAGCTCTCTTTGCCCAGCCTAAAGGCAAAGCATGGCTTGTGGCCACGGGCCCGCTGACCAACATCGCTTTGTTGTTCGCCGTCTTCCCCGGTCTCGCAGACCACATCGCTGGACTGTCCATCATGGGCGGCGCAATCGGCTCCGATTTCACCCACGTCTCAGTAAGTCCTGCACTCGAGTCCTACTCTGTCTGCCATGACTGAGATCGCGCTATATCTTGCACCGCTTGAAAGTGGTCAAACCGGCGCTGTTTGACCCCGGTCTTTCTTGTTTGGGACCGGCGCTGACTTCACCAACCCCTTCCAAGATGGGCCAGCCCTACCTGGACGCTAGTGGCACCGCTCATGCTCGCTCAGGCAATCGTACTCCTTTTGCAGAGTTCAACATCTGGGCCGATCCCGAGTCTGCTCGTTCTTTGCTCCAGGACCCGGTGCTCCGGTCCAAGACGACACTCATCCCGCTGGACGTAACGCACCAAGCATACGCCACGCCAAAGGTACAACACATGCTTTTAAATGGAATCAACGGACCGACGAGGCTCAGAAGGATGTTCAACGAGCTGCTCATGTTCTTCGCCCATACCTACGCCGAGGTGTTCGGATTGACAGATGGGCCGCCCTTGCATGATCCGCTAGCTGTTGCTGCAATCTTGAGTGGTCACCCAGACCCGAACTTCCAAATCGAGTTCGATGATGGTGGTGGAGAGCGATGGGATGTCGACGTTCTTCTGGAAGGAGAACAGGTTGGAAGGACAGTCATCACAAAATCGGAGGATGGCCAGGGCGTCAGGATTCCCAGGACTCTTGATCTGGACAAGTTTTGGCGGACATTGGCTGATTGTATGGCCGCAGCCGATGAGGCCCAGAGGTATCAGCAGTAGAATAAAGCCATTGTCGAGAAGCACAAGGGATGACCTAGAGTGGACTGGATAGACTATGAGAAGAGCCTGCGATCATACTCGCTTGACATTCGATAGGGAAAGAACTTTTCTGTCTCAACAGGACGCATACATCGGCTCTGCGAACACGTACTACGAACGACATCAAGTTTGATCTTTCATTGTCGCCCGACATAACCCGTACAAACTATGGTTAACCTCTCATGATTCATTCCAGCTTCAACATGATCACATCAATGAATGTGTTGGTGTCATAGTACGGTGCGCCATCGTTGCAGTGCTTCTCTTTCCAGTGCCTCTCCTTCAACAAAATCGCTGGTGCTGGTCGACAGCGGCGTCGAGACACGGTCAGAAGAATATATCCCCATATCCATGCACATCGACGGCATTGGGGACATGGACCTCCGGGAACTCTCGCTTCTTGCCTTCGGCCGTATACTCTGCCAACCCCCTGCGCATCGCTTTAGCAAGTGCAAGTCTCTTCTTGGCTGCCTGGACCGCCTGCTCGGCGTCACGCCTCGCTTTCCGCGCCATGAAGTCAAGAAACTCCACATACGCCTGCTCTGCGTCTTCTGGCCTGCACCCCTTGACGAACGTCTCCCCGCCGCTTGTCACATAACAGTGCATGTCTGCTCCTATAATGTCGCTTTGGAACAACCAGCGTCTGGGGTTTTGTCTTCGGAGGAGAACCATTCCCTGCCAGTGACCGTACTGGGTTTGCAGGCCATTCGAGAACGCAGCGAGATGAGGGTAGTCATTCACAAGGATCACGGCAATCGCATTTGAGGGGCGCTCCTCCATTGTATGATCTGCAAGAGATATGAAAATAGATGTTGATGGGCACGTCGTGTGCTGTCAGCTTGTTGACGAGTTCCTCGTTTGTTTTGTCTTCGGCCAGCTGCCTAAGTCTGGGTATAGATTGCTTGGGTGTCGCTTTGCAGACCTCTGTGCTCTGTCTCATTTCCCTCATGGTCGCCTCATGCCTTATATATTCCTCAAGAACATTCCAGCTCGCCTTTTCGACAGTGCGCTCAACCTCTTCGTCTACTTCTTTCTCAATTTTGAACGAGACTTTGGCCGGAGGGCCACGGGTGACTATCTTCCTCCCTTCAGGTTCGGTAATTCTCTCAGTTTTTACCGGGACGAGCTGTAATCCCCACTTTGCCGGTCTTAGGATATGAGGTGTATTCTTCGATCCTGCAGGGGCTGGAGGAGCACGAAGGTTGGGGCTTGAAAGACTCGAAATCGCTGGGCCGAGTTTCGCGGACGACGGTGTTGTCCGAAGATGTGACTTTGAGCTCGGTCGAGCGAGTCCTTTAGAGGAGGCTGGTCGAAAGGGGAGTGTGAAACCTGGCATACTGAGTCGATCACGTGTCGGATAGACAATGATATCCTTCCGTTGTTGTGAAACCGAGACGGATTCTCTCTCAGGGGATTGGAAGTCATTGGAAGTAAAGGATCTTGTAGATATAGTTTCGAACTGGGTCGCAAGAGGCAGCTGAGGCCTTGAGGTCAACTGCTGGTGCCTGACGGGTGGGTGGTGACATTGTCACTGGGCGTGAAGATAGAGGCAGTGGAAGAAACAGACCACGATTGCATGGTCGGAAGAGCTTGAATTGAGCCCACAACGCGTCTCGCGACTCGACCCGATCCCGTTCTCTTGATCAGTGTTCGATCATGGGCAGTCACTCATGATAGGTGGTCGAAATGCATGATATTCACAGGCCAACTCGCACTGTGAAAATTAATGGGGATAGAGACAGAAGGGTACCACTTCCCAAAACCGCGTTTTCAAGAATCCTGGGTCATATGAAAGCGAAGAGATCCGCCTGCAGCCGAAGTGACAGACAGGAGCAGTCGTCGAATTAACGTGGCACAGGTAGTGAAGATGAATCTATTCCAGTGTAGGAATCGACTTCGTGGCTGGAATCCTAGACTTTAGGAAGTGAAAAGTGGCCGATTTTGCCAGAAGAGGACGTTGCGACACCTTTTCAGAGGCAATCAACAAGACTTACGGTTGACTCAACTCCGGCACCAGTTGCCATCACCGGTATTCTTGCACCAATTGCCCAGAGCATCGGTGACCTGTTTTCTGCAGTCTCTGGAAGGTCCTCTCAGACACGACGATTTTGCATCGTCGTATGTCCTTGCTGAAAGTGCACAGCGAAGATCCTTCCACCAATCAATCTTGCAATGTGTTACTGCGGGTGTGGTCTGGTCGACATCCCGGAAAGCTTCGAGCTGACGGCTGATACTTACAGCAACATCCCATAGGTTCCTCCTGCAAACGACGCTGGCTTTGCTCGATCTTTCATCCCATTGCTTGTAGCCTTGCTTCACACCATTGACGAGAACCTCGACGATGTCTGTTTTGTCTGATCCGGTCCTTCGAATTGCCAAGGCTGAGATGTTGGACACTTTGGATGTGGTCTTCGGCAGACCGCACGAGCTTTGCTGCTTTTTACCAAAGGCGAAGCGTGGGGAATCGACAGGAAGTGGTTCGACACTGAAGAAATGACCAGTGTCGCTGAGCTGAGATAGACGACCTGCTCGACCAAACGCACGCTCGTAGCCTGTGGCGTGGTATTGATCAGAGTAGACCACCACACTTTGTATGAAGGCACTGCTGGACTTCTGAATGAACACGTCGGCCGGGAACGAGAGGACGCTTGAGAACTGTTTGACCGCCAGCTTGTCCGTACATGATTTGGAGAGACTTGGTTCTGCGTCTGCACGTGCGGGCTTGCGGCGCGTGTAGCCCAGCAGAGAGAAATGACCACGGCCTTGCAGCTGAATGTCGCTCTGACCCTCCACTGGCCATGGTGCTGCCGCACTGGAAGGGAATGACTCGATCAATATCTCCATCGACGCATCCCCGCAAGGAGCTTCAGTGGTGAAGAAGTAGATTGCGATGTTGTCCTTAATCTTGAATGGTGGCTCGTCAAATTGGCCGCCGTCTTCCTCGTCGGTCAGAGTATTTTGTCTTTGACAGAACTCGAGATACGGTGATTGATAAGCTGGAAATTGCAGCATTGCCTTCACTTCTGATAGTAGCCAGTGATTCAACCCACGTAATGCCAGGACTTCCGCATGAGAGTCATGCAACACCAAGCCCTTGCATTTGGGCATTGCAGAGGCCGAAAGACATTTAGTTCCGGTTGCAAACGAGACACAATTGAGATCCTGGGCTCCTCCAGTTTGCGCCACAAGGACGACTGCTGACATGGGAGTCCATTCTCTCATGCCATCAGCCAGGGTGCGAGGCTTGCATTTTTCAGGCAGTGAATTGAATCTAGCCAATGCGGCACAAGCCACTTGCTCCGCTAATGAGGGCATAGGTACCTGTGGGGATAGCAATGGAAAGCGAAGCTTGCTGCGAAAGGCCTTCCATGACTGATAGCAGGCAAGAGTAGACAGCAAACGGCGACAGCGATGGAGATAGCGATGGCGCGGCGAAGATGCAAAGCAAAAACAGTGGAAAAGCGACTTGGGCGAGGCACGCGCCTAACCAGCCCGGCTATGGGCGACTCAAACAAACCCTGGAGAAGCCTAAAAAAGTGCCTAGGGAGCCCCGCAGCCAGACACCAGCCACGCTCGGGGGCCGTCGAGGCTTCATTGCGCTGCTTTGGCGCTGCCCGCAGCCCCTATCAACAAGACAAAGACAGCTCCATGTCTCCCAACCTGTATTTCATAGATAGAGCGCACGCATCCAAAGTTATACTGTACTCCGTATATCCACGCAAACTCGGCGTCCTTCCACGGGTGTACCGCATATCGACGCTCCTCCGCCACGAAGCCTGCCAGCGATATTGTACAAGTGGGAAGTGCGAACGTGACTTATTTCTCCCGGCGGGTTTTCTTCTCCCCACAACGGACAGCCTCCGCGCCACCGATCACGACCCATTTTAGCCTATTCACACAGAGCGACAAGCCCTGAATTGCCCGTCGCAGGGTCGTCGCATCTTCAGGGTCCTGAGGGCAGGAGGGCAGCTTGCAGTAGGCTGTCTTGCAAAGTGTGGAAAAGCGCTTCTTTGCAGGTGACGGCATGGGGAAGAAACTCCAGCCTGATCCAACCCAGCTGTCTACAAGCAAACGCCACCCATCATCATCATTACATTCTGGCACTCCATGACTGGTCCAGACTCTCGTGTCGACACCCTGATTGACTGTGGCCGAGAGCCACCAAGCTCTACCCCGGTTTCTTCCTCAAGAGGGCAAGCCACGAACGAACCCACAGCGAACGCTTACCCGCTTCTTCCTTCCCACATTTTCGCAAGATTCGGACCTCGACCATTAACTACACCTCTGACTTTCTCCGCCTTCCCATCACATCATCATCCTTCAGCCTCGTCGTCCTCGATGTCGTGACGAGACCGCCGTCCTGATCCATCTCCAGATACATGCTTGGATGCGGCTCGAGTTCACGCGTCCCTTGCGGATTTTCAGCTGCCTCGGCACCGTGCACATGATCCTTGTTCTCCACATTGAGATCTGACATGTTGCACGTCTGAGCTCTCGTCTCACGTTGAGAACATGCAGCCGTTGATCGTCGCGTGCCCGTAATATCATTCTACACCATGACGAGCTCGTCGAATCAAGCTGGATTTGCCCGAGGCGACCAGAGGAACAATCTGTTGTCGAGTTCGGGCTTTATGATGCCAAATCCCCGCATGGACAGCCTACCTCAACAACAGTCGAACACGGCGGCTTTCGATGCCTCGACCCCTGGTTCTGTTGATTTCACCTTTCCGTTTGCTGGCAGTCCTCATGGTTCTAGCAATAGCGGCATCGATGCGCCCCCGGATCTGCGCCTAAGTCAGAGTCAAGGCTTTGCTGGGCGAGGCTCCGTGGCCGCGTATGGCAGGGTCCCGAGTCCCCAACATCGCGCCAGCCTAGCAAGCATTGATTCGGCGTTTGACCGCGATCTGTTCGGCTCGGCAGCCTTGAGTCAATGGGCCCCGACAAATTCAGGACACCAGGCACCTAGTAATGCCGACTCTTCGCCCCGGATTCCGGCTAGCGTCGGCGACCAGGAGAAAAAGTCGCAGACCGAGGAGGAGAGGCCGCCTGCGTGGAGCGAGTTGAAGACGAAAGCAGGGAAGGAAAGGAAGCGGCTGCCCTTGGCTTGCATTGCCTGCCGGCGAAAGAAGATCAGATGTTCGGGCGAAAAGCCCGCTTGCAAGCACTGTCTCCGTGCTCGAATACCTTGTGTCTACAAGGTGACTACTAGGAAAGCTGCCCCGCGCACGGACTATATGGCTATGCTGGACAAGCGGCTGAAGCGAATGGAAGACCGAGTCATCCGAGTCATCCCCAAAGATGAACTTCCTGATCTGAGCAGCACGGGTCGGGCTTCAGTGCGACCTCCAATTCCAGGCCAGGCACCCAAGAAGGAGAAAGAACAACCCAAAAAGCGGTCCGCCGACGAAGCATTCACCCAAGAACTTAGCGACTGGAGAAACTCCCGCGAGAAAACCACACTCCTCGACCCGACGGCCGGACTACGCAAACAGCGCGAGGGCGAGAACAAACTATTCATCGAGGGCTCGGAATCCCTCCCACCGCAACACATCCAAGAACACCTCGCTGAAGTCTTCTTTGACTGTGTCTACGGCCAATCCTACCTCCTATTACACAAACCCAGCTTCATGCGCAAGCTGAAGGCTGGGACAATCCCGCCGGTGCTGATCTTGGCTGTCTGTGCTATCTCGGCCAGGTTCTCGACTCACCCACAAGTCTCCACCGAACCGGCGTTTCTCCGTGGGGAGCAGTGGGCGACTCCCGCGCGACGCATTGTCGAAAAGCGTCACTATGAACCGAATATCACGATTCTCACCGCAATGCTGATGCTGGGGTTGCATTACTTCGGGACGTGCGAAGGCGGATTATCGTGGTCCTTTGGCGGCCAGGCCATGCGGATGGGCTATGCACTTCAACTGCACCGCGAACTGGACCACGATCCCCTTGGCCGCAATCAAATCGCCAACAATGCGAATGAAGGCAAGAAGGGTCCCAAGCCGCCGGAGCTGTCCTTTACAGACCGCGAAATCCGCCGTCGCACAATGTGGGCGTGCTACCTGATGGACACGTTCAATTCGTCGGGGACGGAGCGACCTTCATTCCTGAATGAAGACTACTACCAGATCCAGCTGCCGATCAAAGAATCGCATTTCCAGATGGAAGTCCCCGGCCCGACGGAGGATCTGTACGGCAACGTGCCCATGTCCAACAAGTCGTCGGCGCTCGACACCGCTGCTGCCAACGAGCTTGCCGCCGAAGCAAAGGCGAACATGGGCGTGGCGGCATATATTGTCCGCGCCGTGGTTCTTTGGAAACGCATCGTCAAGTATTTGAACCTAGGCGGCAAAGACAAAGACCCCCACCCCATCTGGGACCCATTGTCCCAGTTCGCAACTCTGCAACGCCAGATCAACCAGTTGAAATCCTCCCTGCCAGAGGAAATCACCTATACGCCCGAGAACTTCGCAACACACGTCTCCGAACGCCTCGCGAACCAGTACCTCTTCCTGCACATCGTGCTCGCCCAGACGAGCCTGTTCCTGCATCGCTTCGCCATTCCAACCAACCCCTCCCATCGGCCCCATCACCATTACTACACCCAGCAAGGCATGCCTAAACCATTCCTCACCAGCTCGGCCAACATCGTGCTCGAATCCGCCTCACTCATCAGCAAGCTCATCGCCGACTCGACAGGCCACACCCTCACGGTCCCCTTCGCCGGGTATTGCGCCTATGCCGCCGCAACGGTGCACGTGTGGGGCATCTTCAGCAAGAACAGCGCCCTCGAACAACAAAGCAAGGACAACCTACGGCACAATTACAAATACCTGACACGCATGAAGAGATACTGGGGCATGTTTCACTACATGGCCGAGAGCGTCAAGGATATTTACCGGGCATTTGCCGACGCGGCACTCCGTCAGGCCCAACACGCCCGGAACAGCGCGGGACTGCCGACTAGTATGTTGCGACGGCATTCCTCCGCCGGCGGCGCGGGAGGGAGAAGTGGGACGCAAACGCCCATGGACATGGACGCGACGGCGACGTTGACAAGCAACACGAATCCGCCATCTAGGTCGGACACGCCTGCGGATCCGACCAAAAGCAAAGATGCGGACAAGGCGAAGGCCGGATCGATGTTCCAGTACGGTGACTGGTTCGACAAGTACCCGCACGGGGTTTCAGAGAGCGAATGGGAGAAATCGCACCTCGAGTACAGGAGTGAGCACGCGCAGGGTGGAGCCGAGGCCGTGATGAGCCAAAGAAGCGATTTGCAAAGTGTCGAGGAGTTCTTCGCGAGTCTCAGTCCCCCTTCCAAGGCAGATGACACCATCGGAAGAGGCAACAAGAAAGTGGCGAGAAGGAGGGGGAAGAGCGTGGCAGAGAACAAAAAGACCGACAAGGACGAGAAAACCAAGGAAGGAGAAAAAGGAAAGGGGAACCCCTCGACTGCGGCCAAAGGCGCGGGTCCGTCGATTTCTGGTCAAGATTCGCAAAGGCGTCAATCCATGTCGCAAACAATACCGGACCAGCGCCTTTCCGGCACAGCTGGCGACCTCAACTTGAACATCAACCTCAACCAACCCTTCGACCTCTCCAGTTTCGACATCACCTCGCCCTCGCTGTATCAAAACACGCAGTTCGCCGATCCATACAACTATGGCAATTCTCCGACCTCTCCCCAATTCGGCGGCAACCTTCATTTTCTTTCAACTTTGCCGGCAATCGATCGGCAAATGGTCTATGGCGCGGCTTATGGCGGCCTCGATCCCTCCACATCGAACAACAACGGCGGCCAGAACGCTTCGTCAGGGCTCAACAACCTGGGCTCCCCTCCAATCGGCAATTTTGGAAGCACAAATCCGTGGGATCAGCTGGACTTGACCACGTACGGTCTAAACGACCCTTTCGCAGGAGGGCACGGGACCATGGACACCAGTTCGTCAGCTTGGTTGTTGCCTTTTAACATTGAGCCGCCAAGCTTTGGGGGTAGTGGCATGGAGGAGTTCGGAAACACGGCGCTCGACGGCATGGATCTGAGTGATCTCGGTCAGGGGGGCGGGAGCGACGTCGGTGGACAATTTGGGGACCAAAACTCTGGGACTGGTGGACAGACGTAAAGGTCGCTGGCTCGTGTCGAGTTGGACTCGACTCTGTGTAAAGGGATGCGTGTAAAGCATGACACCTCCGCAGGACATATGGCTGCAAGATTCACACACTTTTTGAAGGACCGTATATTGGGGGACCACATCGGCATTATATACCATCGGACGTACACGCGAGGGTGTCCCCTGTGTCAAGGATGCAATTATTTTTCGTCCTGTGTGGTCATGCTCAGTCCTCCCACTCCTCATCAAGCTGATCAATCAGGCGATTCTCGTCGTCGGGAGTGCGGCCACGTCCAGGGTGTCGCTCGTCGGTGCCAACACGATGGTACCCTCTTCGACCGGCGAAGAGTTGTGTGACACCTCCCGGCATACGTTGTGTGCATGAGGAAAATAGGATGACAAACATGTCCTAAAAATAGGGTCGAAAGCACAGAGGTTAGCGGTAGGTGATCAGGCAATGTCGGGTTTCCAGTCGTGGTCTCTCCTAGCCGGTATGTAGCGGGTGTGGCGTAACCCCGAAGAAAAGGGCCTCTGTAAGTTGAACCATGTGTAAGGGAAAACAGCACGCACACGCAAGGGGAGAGAAGAGAAAGCAGGAGAGGACTAACCGAGAAAAAGCTGTGTATACCCGCCCACATAGCGTAGTTGGGCAACTGTCTCCATCCTCTTTGATGCAGGACGTTACGCTGGTAGACAATACCTCCGATGAGATAGACTAGCAGAGCGATGCCTGCGATGAGACCGAAAACAGCGCCCGGGCCCAGCGTTCCCTTTTCTTCCGACTGAGTTGTTCCACCGCAAGCAGATCGGGAGCGGATCTCAAACACATAGGTACAGTGGTCGGGTGAACCGAGGAAGTTCACAACGGGCCTATTGGAAAGAAGGGGAGAGGTATCGCAAGCAAAGGTCATGAGGGTGGACTTCCGCCTTTTGCTGGTTTTCTTGACGACAAAATCATCGTCGATGGGATTTCCGTCCTCGTCGAGTTCGGGACAGGGCGAGCCCATGGTGTAGTTCAACAGCAGCTTCTTGCCGCGGAAGAGTAGTTGGTCGTTCTGTTGCCCGATGCTGTATATGTCTCCGCGATGGTCCTTGTAAAACGCCGAAACATTTTTCTGACGGCTTGTAGGAACTCCTTCCACGTCTTCTAACGACTCGACAACGGGTCCGCAGAAGTTGATGGTGAAATTTGCAGGATAGTCGTAACCTTTGGCATGATAGGATTCATTGCTTGCGGCTTGGTATTTCGTGCCCTCGGGAGTCAACTGCAATGACCGCAGGTCAAAGAATGAGCCAGTGGATGGAGAGAGGATGGTACAAGGCTTCGGTGGGGGTTTTGCATCGGCTGCAGCGAAACTCGAAGGTAATGATGAGAGGAGCAGGACCAAGAGCGGCGTTGAGAGATGCATGGCTGGTGAGAGGGGTGCTGGACGTGCGCTCAAGAAGCAGAGAAAGATAACGAGTGGAAGTGTCGGAGACGGCGCGAGCAAGTCAATGCTGCACCTGTGTATTGCTGGACCGGCGATGGTTTATGAGTTCCAGGTTGTGATGAGGGCAACGTGAACGAAAGGGGACACATTGAGGTAAGCCTAAAAGTTTAATGCCAATCTCTCATCATGTACGGCGACTAGGCTGTGGCTGCCTGTGACACTTGCCGCAAGGGCAAAAATGATGCGTTCCTGCAGCTGCAGGTCAGTGGCTACTTAGGTACGGCTGAAGCGTGGACTACAAGCGAAGGCCGCTCGTGTTCGTTTCGACATGAAATGAATCGTGCCGAGCCTGGGAGCCCAGTGCTCTTCACTTGCCCAACAGCAGAACTCGCTTTGGAACGATACAATAATGCGTACTCCGTACTTCCTACTCGTAGGGAGGACTCGTATCATCCCTCGAGGAAAGTTCCCGCTTGACGCTATGCAGCCTTTCCGAGACGCATGATGGCGATCCCGGATGATGATCTCATTCGGCTGCTGCGTCTCCGGCAACTCACTTCTGCTTCACCCCCATTTCAGAGACAGATGTAAAGGCACCTCCGTCCACGTTTCCCTCTCCTGTCACTCGTTTGACTGTTTTGATTCAATGAGTCGTCCCTGCTGAACTTCGTCCTCTCCTGCCGCCTCACCGCCGCCACAATGACAGTCGTGACCAGCTCGAAAAGCAAATCTCCTCCAGAAGAAAAGCATGAGTATGAGTTCTTTGGCCCGTGAGTATCGTGATTGTCCCTTCAATCTGTGATGGTTCGCTGATACTCGACAGTCCCGGCGCCGCCGCAATTGTCTTCCTTCTGCCCTTACTGCTCTATGCCACTGTTTTTCTCTGCAACGACGTTTCGGGCTGCCCTCCGCCCGCGCTGCTCGACCCAAAGACATTGACACTCGAGAAGCTGAAGAAACAAACACCCTGGCCTGAGAACGGAATTGCAGGTCTGTTTGATCTCGAAGTCACTCTATGGGTCCTGGCATATTACGCTCTCAGTCTTGCGCTGCAATTGTTCCTACCTGGCCAAGAACTGGATGGCACCACGCTCGGTACAGGAGGCAGACACCATTATAAGTTCAATGCTTTCAACTCGGCCCTTCTCATCCTCGCTGGGCTTGCTGTCGGGACGGCCCTTCAGGGCGCCGACTTTGTGGTGTGGACATACATCTGGGACAACCTGCCTCAGGTCGTCACGGCAAATCTCCTGATGTCCTACGCCCAAGCAATCTACGTGTACCTGGCATCATTCTCGGTTCCTCACCCTGGTCAGCCCAACCCGGAGCATCGGGAGCTTGCTAAGGGTGGACATACTGGTAACATGCTTTACGACTTCTTCATTGGCCGCGAGCTGAACCCGCGCATCGCAATTCCGGCATGGATTCCTGTTGCTGGGGGTCAAGTCATTGACATCAAAGTGTTCAATGAAATGAGACCGGGCCTTCTCAACTGGATAATACTCGACCTGGCATTTGTCGCTCATCAGTACAAGACCTACGGGTACATGACCGATTCTATCCTTTTGGTGACTTTCTTCCAGGTACTATATGTCATGGACGCCCTGTACATGGAGCCAGCCATTATGACCACCATTGACGTAATTTCCGATGGATTTGGCTTCATGCTCGCCTTTGGCGATCTGACCTGGGTACCTTTCATTTACAGCCTGCAAACTCGATACCTCGCCGTCTACCCTTTGACTCTTGGAGTTACTGGTATCGCTGGGGTCTTGGCGGTTCAGGCTCTGGGCTACTACATCTTCCGGGGTGCCAATAACGAAAAGAACCGCTTCCGTACCAATCCAAATGACCCTCGTGTTTCACACTTGGAGACGATGACCACTGAGTCCGGCTCCAAGCTTCTGGTATCCGGATGGTGGGGTACCGCTCGACATATCAATTACCTTGGTGATTGGATCATGTCTTGGAGCTATTCACTTCCGACTGGCGTGGCCGGATATATCATCAACCAATATCAGAACCCTATCACCGGTAACACGACGAGAGAGGTTGTGCAAGGAGATGCACGTGGCTGGGGTATCATATTCAGCTACTTCTATGTCATATATTTTGGCGTGTTGCTAGTGCACCGACAGCTCAGGGATGAGGAGAAGTGTCGGAAGAAGTATGGGAAAGATTGGGAGCGCTACTGCAAGCGTGTCAAGTGGAGGATCATTCCGGGTATCTACTAGCCAGAGCAGCGGGACGGAGAGGCTCTCTCTGAGGTCTCTGATAAGCTTCGGCTATTTGGAAGACATCCACATCCCGTTTGGATCTTTGCGTCCGCCACTGGCGCGTATTTGTTAGAAAGCGAATGCACTGTACGGAGTACAGGAGGGGAGATCGACAACGATCCTGGTCCAGAACTCCCAGCAGCGCACGGGGTTATGAGTCGTCATGCAAGGCTCCAAGATCTTCCCCGACATACGAGGCGCTGCTTCCGGTTTACTGGGATCTCAGTTTGCTCCAACCCGTCTGCGTATCTTGCGGTCGACAGAACCCTGAAGCCACGCCTGGCCCGCAGCTCTTGGGAGCTTCAGCTCGCCTATCGAACCCCGGTCGGCAGGAAATTTGGTGGCCATGCTGGAGCAGGCCACTCATGTAGTGGCTCGCTCGCTGTTCAGAATTTCATCCGCCAATATAATCAAACTTCCACCACCCGCGCGAAGCTTTTTGTCTCCACAGCCTGGGCTAGGCCATACACTTACCAACGTCGTTGAGCTCGCCAAGGCGATTGTGCCGTCATCACTGAGCACTTCTAACCACGTACAGACAATGGATTGGTCCAAGAAGGAAAGATGGGGTAGGGAGATCCCCAGGTTTGGACAGGGGTAGTTAGGTGCCCCGGGAAATCTGGCCTTGCTCTCCACCTTACCCCGACTCTTTGATATGATATTAGACGTCGGCCTTCGCGTTGAGGTGGAACGCGTCCAGGGCGGCCTTCGTCGTTGGAACAACAAGATCATCCAGTCCGAAGCTTACTTCGTGGCAGAAATCAAACATGGGTTTAGGCGTGCTGGAGGCCAACACCACTGCGCATGTTCCTGGAACCGTTCTCCTGGACCAGCTGGCTGCTCACTCTGAGGATCAGACTGGGCGCTTGAAGCATGGAACCGGGAAGAATTCGAACATCGTTCTGTCACCACAGCCATCCGAAGACCCCAATGACCCGCTGAATTGGTCATCCGTCAAGAAACATATCGTGCTGTCCGTCATTTTCTTCGGGGTCATCATTGTCGGTGTGATACCGGTGAGTGGTCCGCTTCAGACTCTGCCTCGTTCGTCCGACTGACTGTCCCCCCAGGGGCCCCTTTTGAACGCTGGCATCGTTCAAATTTCTGTCGATCTCAATCGATCACCCACTGATGTCGCTAAACTCTCTGGCTATTGTATTCTTGCCACTGGCGCCATGGGTCCATTTGCATCCGCCTTGGGTCGAAAGTATGGCAAACGACCCATGTACGTCTTTTCCTCGCTCATTGGAACAATCGGCGTCATCGTGTCTGAGGCAGCAACTGGCTACAAGGTACTGTTGGCTGGCCGTGTCCTTCAAGGCATTGGTATTGCCGCGTACGAATCCCTGGCCGTATCGTCAATCGGGGACATCTTCTTTGTGCATGAGAGAGGCCCGAGAGTCGCCGTTGTGATCTTCCTTCTGGCAGCCATCTCTAACGGGATTTCGATTATTGCCGGAGTCATTACTGAGAATCTTGGCTGGAAATACAACTTTCATATCTACATTCCATTTGCGGCTCTCCAGTTAATCGCAGTCATCCTTTACTGTCCGGAGACGATGTACCGGCGCAAAGCCATCTACGAGACCGACACGGCCGGATCAGATGAAAATCTCGAGAAACTCGCCAAAATCGAGTCCGCGGCTGCACATCATGTCGAACGACACGGTGACAGAGCTGGTGCAGATCTTGAGAAGACGATGACTTCAACCTCACACGCATCTGTCGATTCGATCCCTGCCAAAAAGACGTGGTTCCAAGAGCTCTCCATCTACAATGGGACCTTCGTAGATGACCCAGTGTTTAAAATGGCAATCGCCTCGGTCGCAATCCTTCTCAACGTTGGGGCTACTTACCAAGTCTTCATGACCGGCATCATTATTGCTTGGTACGTTGCGGTGGCCATCTTGTCCGGTGTCATCTTTGCCTCGCCGCCCTATCTTTTGTCCTCAGCTGCTGTGGGATATATGTCGGTGGGCCCTTTCATCGGCGGTCTTATCGGCGCAATCTTCTCGCTCGTCATCTCGGAGCCGTTAGTCAAATCGATGACAAGGCGCAACAAGGGCGTCTACGAGCCCGAATTTGCCCTCCTGCCCATCAGTCTGGGAGGTATCTGCTCTGTTGCAGGTCTCATTGGCTGGGGCTATGCTGTCAGCGAGTTCAAGAGCATCTACCTCGTCTGCTTCATTTGGGCAGTCATCCTTTTTGGCATGACCATCATCGCCAGCTTTGCGACGCAGTGGGCTCTTGATGCTTACAGACAGAACAGCACTGAGTTGTTTATCATGAACATGTAAGTTTGCCTGTTACAAAATCTCGGTGGCATTTTCTAACGGCTGCTTTACAGGGTCTTCAAGAACTTCTTCTTCTACGGTCTGACCAACTACGTTATCGATTGGTATGCCACATCAGGCGCCATCGACATGGCAGGCACGATGGCTGGAATCACGGGATTCTTGTGTCTCCTTGCTATACCCATGTATGTGTATGGCAAGAAGTACCGATATTTCTGGCACAAGCACAACGCGTTGAAGTGGCTACACCTGGAGACGGATCACGCTGGAGCTGAAGGTTGAATTAAAGCTGTCGAGCTTCAGGCAGGTCGGCGGCCGTGTCTGGAGTGTGTACTAGAGCGACGCGAGTGATCAGATATCGGAGAACGAATAATTGAATTGTCTTTCGCCCTGAAGGATGTATCCAAGGGTAGACTCTCACTCGCCTTTGGACTTTTCATCTGTTCGCTTCATCATCAACTTCAAGCCCGAAGCCTCCTCTGCGACCTATCTCGTCTTATCCTGAGACTACGGCTCGTTCTCATAACCGTCCAAAAACTGCATCTTCAGCGTATACCTGCCTTCCTGTTGTAATTTGTCCCGGCCGTAGGCTTTGACCCGTTCAATGTCCTGCCGACAATCCCAATACATACCTCTCAACTCCTTGGCCTTGCCCGCTGCAAGATACGTGACGGTGGCGCCGCAGAGTTCCGGCGGGTCTTTGAACAAGGCTTGAAAATCGGTCCCGTGCTGCGTGAGAGCGGGATACCTTTCCAGCAGTTCTTGCCGGATCTCCTCTACAGATCATCAAAGTCAGGTGGTTTTCCCTTCTTACTCAAAGCAAAAGAAAGGAAATGGGGGGGGAACACTGTATTACGCACTCTTGGCCATGGCAGTAGGCACACCGCCGGGGTGCAGAGCATAAAGCTGGATCGCGTCGCCGAGTCCGTCCAGCTCGACCTCCTCCTGCAACGTGCTCGTCGCGCGCGCCACGGCCGCTTTCGAGCTGTTATAACCCACCGCGAAGGGGAAATCGACCGTGGCGGCGCGCGACGCAATGTTGATGATCACGCCGGCCTTGCGGTCCCGGAACTTGGGGAGCAGGTACCAGCTCGTGACCATGGTCTGTCTCTCGGGCAGTGAGTGTGAGTGTGAGTGAGCGCTTATGTTTCGTGAAAAGGGGGCAAGGGGCAAATATTGTAGACGTACACTCTTGAAATTGATCTCGATGGTGCGCCAGAAATCTTCGAACGATTCCATCCATTGTGGTCTTCCGGGCGAGACGCCGGCGTTGTTGACCAGGATACTGCGCGTGCGGTTATGTCAGTGTGTGGGATTGACGTCGGTAATTACTTCCACTGTATTTGCCCAATCCTCGGGATCCAACCCGGAGTGCCCTGAATGATGTACAGCAGGGGAAAGGCAAGTGATAGGTATATAGGTAGGTAGGTAGGTAGGTAAGTAGGTAGGTACTCACTCGATCTCTCCCAAATCAGTCTCGGCCTGCTTCAACACGCCCCTGAGGGCCTCCACATCCGTGACATCGACGACGTAGGTCTTGACCCTGGCGCCGTGCTCCTCGCACAGTCTTGCCGTCTCGGCCAGTTCGTCCTCCAATCGGTCCAGCACGGCGATGCTGGCGCCGGAGATGGCGAGTTTGATACTGATCGCGCGACCGATGCCTAGGGAGAGATCAAGTCCATCAGTACAGACGGTACTTGCACCGACTCCGGCACCATGGCCAGCTCAATCGCATCCGATGCTTCAAGGGCATGTCCACCGACTGGGCTAAGAGTGAGTGACGACGACGACATGACCATCGTCATGACCATGGTTACGGAGACCACGCACAACATCACCCTGACAAACAAAGACGGGCTAAACTCACCTCTCGCACCGCCGGTCACGAGCGCGACTTTCCCCGCGTTGATGCCTCGTAGATTCTCGTCCGTGATGGGCCCGTACTGCGCGTGGTTCAGCGGGATCGCCGAGACGGGGAACTTGGTTGGATCCATGCTTGGATCTGCTGACCAAAGAACAGGACAGGACGGGACGGGCAGGGCAGGGCAGGGCAAAGCAGGCAGGCAGGGTATGTGGGATACGTAGATCCGAAACGTCGTCCACACCGGACTGGACTGGACTGGACTGGACTGGACTCGTACGGTGCGCCGTGAACACGACGGTCAATAACTTGGTAAGTAAGAATGTAAGTAAGTTACAGTCGTAAGGCTGACGAAGTGACTAAATTTGGGGTCAACTTGATCAATGATTGTCGGCGTCGGCGACACACGTATTGATGCATGTAACACATGCAGGACCACGGTCTGCGTAGGTAGACAGTGCTCCGTAAGGTACCTATGGTACACAAGTCATGCATAGTGAACATCTTTCGATGCGGTTAGAGAGGGACCCCACATTCGCTGTGATGCTCTACAGATACATGACCCCGTACTCGGACGAGCTACTGCGTTCCAGGTACCCAGGACGGAGGTACGAGTCCGGTGCGTCTACGCAGTAGTCGGGTACTGCACTGCAGAGGAGTGTCGGGATCGCCCCCTCCCCATGCGGGAAAACCTGGGGGGTTTGCATGGCGTTGCGGGGACGAGCGGGAGGGAGGAGAAGGAGGTGGAGGAGGAGGAGGAGGAGGTAGTGGCTCGGAGATAGAAGAATGCCCGGTCCAGAGGGTTTGAGGCCCTATGTGGCTCCGTACAGTAGCTGCCTGGACGCCCTCAGTGGCCCTCACCATGGGTTGTCTTCACGGGGGTCAGGGGTACGGCGTCCTCAACACTGGGGAGACTGGATACACTATGGAGTACTATCTCGTATTTCCCCAAGCACGACCAGCGATCTGTGTGGGGACCGTCGAAGGCCTGGAGCGACTCGTCTGTCTGTCTACTGGGTATCTAGCTACTATTTACGGTATACAGTCACAGTACTCCGTACGCTCCATCACGGGACTTGCAGCTGATACACCCTCGGAACATGGAGTGCTCCTTGTGGCCTACTGCGGCTGACATCAGGTATGCATGCATGCATGCTAGAAACGTACCAGGTATGTAGGCAGTCTTTGAAGTCACTTCAGTTGGAAGCATGATATGACGGGACTATGGCGGTACCTGCAGACGAGCTGCCCGCTCCCCAGGCTAACCTACCTACCGTCTCTTCTCTGGCCGTAATAAGCAACCAAGCTTGACGTGCTGGCACTGTCCGATGATGAGGATCCGTATCCTGCAATCGACTCCGGCTTCCCCTACTTACGCCTGTAGTACCCAACTCCCAGGAAGTATACGCGGAACGCTAACGCGACACTCGACCACAACCACGTACAGTATGACGGTCGGTTAGATGAACACAACGACCCCAATTCGATTGATCAACTACCGGGCAACAGGATGCTTCCACTATCGCACACAGCCGCACTCAGCCGGTAAACTTGCTCCTCCCGCGCAGCCACGCCCCGAGGTAATACAACCCGTACATGCCCGCGACGCCCGCGCCAGAAAGACCGGCAATGACGGTGACGCCCTTCGCGACGCCCAGGTCGACGTACATGGAGTGCGAGAACTGGACGAACCCGGCGGCCATCATGGAGCGGACAAAGTCGTTGGCCGCGAACAGCGAGGCCACGTACTTCGGGTACGCGAGCGCCACGTAGCAGATGATGCTCTGGAACATGCAGAAGCTGCCGGCGGCCCAGATGTTAATGCCGACCGTGGGCACGATCCAGTGCACGTCCGCGCGGGCCGTCCAGGCGAAGAGCAAGAGCCCCACAGGCGGGCCCCAGACGCCGCAGAGGCCCGGTCGCAGCCATTCCTCCTGCTCGACCGGCTTGCCCTGGTCGGCGTGGTATTTGCGCGCGTGCGGGATGAACCACGACCGCAGGTACGCGTAGTACGCGGCGAGGCCGACGATGCAGCCGGTCATCAGGCTGAGGAAGATCAGGCCCAGCTCGCCGAGCGACATGCCGTACGTGCCTAGGTAGACGAGCGGGAAGGCCTCGAAGAAGGAATAGTATGTCGCGTAGACGAGGCCGCCGTAGAGGGCCGCGTACAGCACGGCAGGATCCTTCATCGTGATCTCCAGCGGGCGGATCAGTGCTTCGAAGAGAACCTTGCTGAACGCGGTAGGGTGTAGTTCGATTTCTGTCTGGTACCGGGTCTGGCCTGTCGCTCTCCGGAGTCTTTGTGCGCGACGGAGCAAGATAGTGCCAGGATATGTCTCGGGCAGGAATGGCAACAGGCACAAGATGATGCCGGACATGATGATGACTTCGTACAGGGGCCACCGCCAGTTGTCGGTCACGGCGTACCCGGCCATCAGTGGGCCGATGGCCGGGCCGCAGTACATGGCGGCAATCCACCACACGTATCCGTAGGGGGCAGTGTAGATGTCGTAGATGTCTTCAATGGACGCCGCGCCGCTGGCTAGGGCAGGACTGCCCGTCAGGCCCTGGAGCCAGCGCAGCACGATGATAGCAGGGAAGGAGTCGACAAAGGCGAGAGCGATCGAGACGACAAAGAATGCCGCGAATCCGTACAGGTAGGGCGGGTTCCTGCCGATGCGAGGGATCTCGCTGATCGGCGACAAGAACATAGGGCCGACGGCGTCTGTTAAAAGCGTTGGCTTAGTATCAGCACGGGGCAACACACCACCCATATCCTTCCAGCGAGTCAGTCAGGGGGGGGGGGGGGGGTTCAACTTACATCCGACAACATACATCGACAGGCCCAGACTGGCTACCACAAGAGATACATTGAATCGGACCATCATGGCCTCTGCCGTCGGCGTGACAATCGATGCCGTGCAGTACACGCAGAAGGTGTACAGGTTGACGACGGTCAATGTCCACATCTTCTTGCCGTGAGGCCAATTGCGAGGATTGTCGAGATCATTCTCCGTGAAGGCCACGACAGCGACCTCGGCGGTATCGGGGGATTGAGGCCGCCGCGGCATGATGTCCTTCTCCGTGGCACGAATCGTCGCGGATCCCTCGGGCAGAATCTTCTCCAGGTCGGTTTCTGAAGCAGAGGCACTCGTTTCGCTGAACATGGTGGGCATCACGCCTGGCTGAGAGTCTGGCTGCTCTTCCGGATACATGAGCCATGGCTGCCGGAAACCCAGAAACCGGAGGAATTGCCCCGCGGGCGTTTCTCTGATGTACTCGAGCATGGTTGAGGCGAGAAGAGAGAAGACACTGTCGAGGTGTCATAACATGTTTCTGCATGCTCGTAGCCATGTTTATACTCGACAGCCCGGGCCCGGCCATCGCACAGCGTCGAGACTTCGCTGCCTTTCCTGCGTCCAGGGAAATGGATGACCTACCCGGTTCACTCGAGGCTGGCTGAGACTGTTGCCGTCCTTGGTCGCGACCGGCATGGATAAACTTATCGACGCAGACTCGGCCACCTCGTCTAGTCTGAGCGTGCCCGATGACGAGTAGCCTCATTGGTTATTTGTATCTCGAAGCGAGTATCATAATGCCGGTATGCTGAAGGCGAGGTCGCTGGTGTGCTAAACACTTTCCGCATTGGGAGCGCTACAGTACCACTGGGGCCCTATCAGTGGGCGAGTCGTGGTCGTTGCGGCTGTGAGCGGCTGAACGCAAGCCGGCTACGCGTCCAGGCCACGACAAGGCATCTTCAGCCGGAATCGAACTGTGGCTTGCTGGGCTCGAGTTGCCGTGGCCCTGCCCTGTTCGACGTGGGCGAATCAGGCTGGGCAAGTGGACGCCCAGATCCGGCGACAGCCCGTGCCAGCAGCGACAAGGCTCGGAGGAAGTGCTCCGTACAGTAACTGCTGTCGCTCGATACGAAGACAGTGTAGCTCCGAATGGGCGCCTTCGTCGATCTGATCTAGGTGGACGGTGTATGCATGAGAGATGAACCACCGTGGCTCTGTTATTATGCTTACTCACTGCGCTCAGACGACAATCTCTGAAGTTGAGTGCATGACCAATTCAGCGAGAGATACCCAGGGAGATCAAGCTGTCATCGACGGTCTTTGTGCAGAAAGGGACCCTCCCGTCCCGGCAGTCATAACATGTACGGCGTCTCAGGGGCTCGTAGGTATTCAGGCATCATACAGCACCACGGCAACACAGTCACAACCTCGCCTTGAAATTGTCCTTTCGCCCCTCTTCCCGCTCAACCCACTGCTTGAGCACGTCCCTCATGATCTTCTGGTTGAGATTCCGGGGGATCTCGTCCACGAACCGTACACCGCCTCTCAGTCTCTTGTAGTGGCTCACGCGAGGGTTCAGGAAGTCGTGGATATCCTTCTCCTCCAACAGGGGAGGCTTGTCGGATCTGACCACGTACGCGCGTGGCAGGTCGTTGCCTTGGCCATCCGGGACACCAATCACGCCAACGTCTACAATGCCAGGCAGCTGCCCGAGTACTGATTCCACCTCCGTCGGCGACACTTGGAAGGACTTGTACTTGAGCAGTTCTTTGGACCGGCCCACAATGTAGAGCTTGCCGTTGCGGTCGAAATGCGCAATGTCGCCTGTGCGGAACCAACCGTCGGCCGTGTACGCTGCCCGCGTCGCTTCGGGGTTGTTAAAGTACTCCTTGATGATATTTGGTCCTTTGCCACGTCAGGAGAAGTCAACTCCAGGTTGGGAGAGCTTGCCTTTGCTTACCTCTGATACAGAGCTCCCCGGGCTCGTCGTATCCCAGCTTCTCCCCAGCCGGACTCATGATCACGGCCTGCATGTTGGGCAGTAATCTGCCCGAACTGCCTTCCCTGTCCACCTCTGTCACGTTCGGCTGGGATGCTGCGGTCACGGTTTCGGTCATGCCCCAGTTGACTCTTAATACCACCCCGTCGGGCAACATGTCGTGCACCTTCAGCTGCAGTGGCAGTGGGAGCGGTGACGCGCCACTCATGGCAAACCGAATGCTCGCCACGTCCTCCCTCGTACACTCCTGCAGGATGCGGTTCCAGATGGCCGGCACGATGAAGCATGCCGACAACTGGTACTTCTTGATGCTCGCCATCAGGGACGAAAAGTCGTACTTGGGGAACATATAGACCTGCATGCCGCATTGGAGAGCCAGCATGGTCTGGACATAGATTCCCACAGCAACGGCGTTCTGCATCACACCGGGCATGCGCAGATACACGCCCTCGCGGATGGCTTTCTGGGCGAAGTGGTCAAAGAAGAACGCCATCTGGCACAGGTTGGCGACGATATTGGCGTGCGTGGTCACCACACCTGTGTATGGGCATTAATTAGTCAGGGACAGCAGCAAAGAGCAAGTGCAAGTTGCGGCTTCCGCTTACCCTTGGGCACTCCTGTCGTGCCACTCGAGTACACCAGACAAGCGGTCGTCTTCTGCAGCACTTGTGGCTCTGTGATTCTCTGCCAGTCCAGCTTCCTCTCGCTGATGATAGACTTGCCATCGTCGGTATCCACAATGTCCAAACCGTCAGAAACCATCATGACGAGCCGGACATCGGTGTTCGACTGCGTGACAGCCTCCTCCGCGGCCTTCCTCGTCTGAAGCGAACAGATCAGGACCTTCGGCCCGCTCATCCGGATCTGTCGCGCAAGCTCAAAGGCCGTCGCCGTCACAGAACAAGTCGCGTGAACACCGCCGGCGCAGAGCACGCCCAGAGTGTTCGGCGCCACCATGACTTGGTTATCCACGTACGTGAGGACGATATCCTTGCCGGCTTCCTCAGCACCGACGCCGAGATCTCGATAGCCTTGGCCTATCCGATGCGTGAGATCGCGGGCTTTGGCCAGTGTGACGTGGTTGGCGGGACTTGACGGATTGATCCATATCGGGTCGTTGTCTTGAAATGGCGTCCGCGAGAAGAGAAATGACAACAAGTCGATGCTGGGTATCTCGACATGGTACTCTGACTCGAAGATCATCTTCGTGCCTCACCACTGCCGGCTATCTGGTGTCCAAAATACTGAGCAGGAGGCAAGAACGTCGTTGGCAGTCACCATTAGTGTTGATGGTCAGTCACACCGAGACGCTGGGGAAGGTAGTCTGCACGATCCAATAGAGACGGAGCAAGACACCAAGAGCAGTGTCCTCGTCACCGCTTTTGCCTGTCGAGGGGGCTTAAACGGTCGACTTCCCATCAGTCAGTCCCCTCCACTGCGCAAGGCTCCACGAATGTCGGGGTAAATGTGGAGTAATGGCGATGCTTGATATGGACAGGCACAGGCGAAGCCCAGCCTCGCCGTCGGGTTCGAGGAGTAACGCACTAGCTACTGTAGATACATTGTCGGTGCCGGCGTGTGTTGGTACAGATTATCTCCTGAGCCATACGGTACACCGACACATCAGCCCAAACAGCTAGGCTGTCTATGCAAGTTGATATCGAGACGACAGAGGCGCCAGCCAGCCAGCCCAGGTCTTCAAGCACCGACCGATCTATTGGCAATTGGACCCCTTCTTCTCTGGACCCGGCTTCATGGGACCAACGGAGTACAGTATGTCCTCTGCACCGCCCCTCGCGGGCCTCAAAGTCCTGGAACTAGGCGGTCTGGCTCCGTCTCCCTTCGCTGGTCTCATCCTGGCAGACTATGGCGCCGACGTTGTGCGCGTGGACCGGACATTCGAAGTCTTCGGCCCACCACGCGACACGCTCTGTCGACGAAAGCGGTCCGTGGTGATAGATTTCAAGGACGCCCCTTCGCGGCAGGTATTCTTGGAATTGGTCAAAATCGCCGACGTGCTGATCGATCCGTATCGACCAGGTGTCATGACCAGGCTGGGCCTTGGGCCGGAGACGCTATGCCAGCTGAATCCGCGGTTGATCTACGCTCACCTTCACGGCTTCAGACCGGAGGGCGTGTATGGGCGACGAGCAGGCCACGATATCAACTATCTCGCCGCCGCGGGGATCCTGTCGATCTTGGGACGAAAAGACGAAAACCCGGCCCCTCCCGCGAACATTCTGGGAGATTTTGCAGGCGGCGGGCTGGTCTGCGTGACGGGCATTCTGTTCGCGCTGCTCCACCGCCAGGCCACGGGCCGCGGACAAGTCGTCACGACGAATATGGTGGATGGGAGCGCATACCTCGCCACTTTCATGAGGCAGCAACAAGGGCACCCGAATAATGATCGGCCCAGGGGCGAGAATCTTCTCGATGGGGCGGCGCCGTTCTATGAGGTATACAAGACGAAAGATGGCAGATTTGTAGCTGTCGGGGCTCAAGAACCCCAGTTCTACAGGAGTCTTCTGCAGGGGATGGGACAGGACGAGAAGGAAATGCCCGAGCAGTGGGATCGCGTGCATTGGCCGAGGACGAAAGAGCTGTTCACCAAGGTATTCAAGCAGAAAACGATGGATGAGTGGCGCGCTGTCTTTGACCACACCGATGGCTGTGTGACGCCGGTCTTGAACATGGATGAGACGGAACAGCCCTTCAAGCCGCTGGTCGACTTGTCGGCTTCTCCGAGTCTGGATGTCTCGGTGCAGGAGTCATACCCGGAGCTGAAAAAGGGCGCTGGGGCCGAAGACGTCTTGCGGGAATGGATTCCGAAATCAAGGTCGTCAGTTGATATAGATCCCTCGTCAAAGCTGCTCCGCATGAAGCACGCCGCAAAGCTATAGATAGCACGGCTGCGCGCAAATGGCCGTTACGTACGTGTAAACCTAGTCCAAACCGGCGTGACTGTGTCGTCTAGGGAACATTCTCCATCGTCAGTCGTGTCTCGCCGTCATAAGCACAGAGCTCCTTTCTTGCCCTCGCTGCTTCCCGTCGCAGGATATCCTCAATGCCTTTCGTTCGTGGAGTAAAGCGAGCCTTGAATGGCTCAGGCCGCATGTTCTCGCTCTTGGTGTACGCGAAGATGTCGAGCTTCACCTCCTTACCCTGGATCAAGTTAGCAGTATCCCCGGCAACGGAGGGGCAAGCACCCACGTTCTCATCCAGCCCGGGCTTGAAATCAAACGCCCACAGCAAGGTCGCAATAGTCAAGTAGAGCCCCTGCTCGGCGAGCGGTTGTCCGCTGCACACCCTTCGACCCCATCCGAATGCATTGTGGCCTTGCTTGTTGGGATAGGGTCGTTCTAGCCCGTTGAGAAACCGCTCTGGCCGGAAGTTGTCGGGTTCAGGGAACTCCCTGGGGTGTCTGTGGATGGCCCAGACATTGCCGGTGATGGGTGTCCCCTTCGGAATCAAGTACCCATGATACTCGTCGTCTTGGATCGGTGCATGTGGAATGCCTCCCAGGATGGTCACTGTCCGCCATCTCAGGGTCTCGTTGACGACGGCTTTGACGTACGGTAGATTAGGCTCGTCACCCCAATCGGGTACTCGGTCCTGGCCGACTACTCGGTCCAGCTCCTCCTGGGCTTTCTTCATCTTGTCTTGAAAGACGCACATGGCCAAGATGAACGAGATGATCGTGCCGCTGGTGGTATCGACGCCACCACCAATCAGGTTAGAAGTGAGGGTGGAAATCTCCTCGTCGGTGATATTGTTCTTCTCCTGCTCCTGGAACAGGCGTTTGGCAAAGTTGTCTTCGGGCATCTGAGCGCCTTCCTTGGACAGTGCCACGAAATAGCGTTGCATATGTTGCGCAAATTTGAACGCCTGCCTCGGCATGGGATAGATCCAGCTCAGCCACGCCGGGAGTCGATTCAAGATGGGGATGGACTCGACCAGGAACAAACCCGGGATGATCAAGTCCACACCTTCCATTGCTTTGAGCGCCATTTGCGCAACGTAGTCGTTGATTTTGTCAATCCGTCGCCCCCAGCCGATTATGGACACAATCGAGCACGAGTATCTCTCGATGGACATGACGAAGTCATCCGGTCTGTCCATCAAGTCTCGGACGAGGATCTTTGACTCGTTGGCCTGGATTTCGCGCCATGGTCTTATGGCCTGTGATCCCGTCGCTGTGTGCTAATAGCGACTAGTTAGATTATCTGGCTTGAGCCTGCGGATCTTTGGCATACCATGAGACGCCGATGGTGGCGCCACTTGTCCCCGTAGACCAGACACACTTGATTGCTTTCCGTTGCATTAATCATGTCACCCATGGCAATCCTGCGCTTGGCGGTTAGCTTGTGCAGACATACCGGTGTCCTTCGAAAGATGCCAAAGACGCAGGCAGTTTCCCAACCGGAGGAAGACATACATCTGTGGTCGGGAAGAGTAGATGTTGGCCCTCTTATCGAGCAGGTCCGAGATGGTCCAGACATCGTTGCACATGATAGTCGGTCTGTGACCCTGCCATATGGTGAACATCGGGTTGTTGTAGTGTTTTGACCACTGCTCGAACTCGATCCATGGCTTGTGCTTTGGGATCTGGAAGAAGTTCCCAACGAGTGGAAATGGGAAGGGACCCGGAGGCAGCCTCTGGCGGATCCGCAGTACTCGTACATAGTCGACAAGGACGAGCAGCACAGGTACGGCCACTACTCCTATGAGAACGGCCCTAATCAGAGTGTAGGTGTCAAGGGCGATGTTCAGCGTGCCTGGAGCACTCGATAGATTTTGTAGTACGCCCATACTTCTTCGCGGTATCAACTGAGTTTGTGCCAGTTCTCTCGGCGTTTGTAAGAGACCGGTTCCTCGTTATGTCTTGATATATACGAAGGCGCAAGTCATGGAATGAGAGCGGTCCCACATAAGATCGGGCATACTCCGTGGCCCTAGACTTGTCGACTGCGACCTCAGCAAAGGTGGCCCACATGAACTGTCCAATCTTCATGTGGAGAACCTCGTGGCTCGTGGGGGAGGGGACTGCTACCCCATGGTCCTTAGCCGAGATCCGGGGAATGGCAAGTGCTGGGGCTCGTAATTTGTGTCAAAGCGGCAGTTGACTTGGACAATGGGTAGATGGTACGTCGCCGGGATAGAAAGAGCAGAGAGCATCGTCTGTCTGCTCGTTCACCCAATCTTGATCATTACGGCTCAGGGACAGCGTGATTCGGGACGGACTCGCCTATTTTCGCGAAGCGACTCTCAGGGGATTGCAAATCAGCATGGCGAAGCTGCAAGGCATCTTTGCTGATGTCAGAGCTGTCTCACCACTCGTCTTGGTTGGAGGTCTTCTGAGCTTGTGGCTCGTCCATCAGTTCGTTGTCCTGCTTGGAGATCCTTTAAGATCTGTTCCTGGACCCTTCCTAGCCCGGTTCACGAGGCTCTGGTACTTGCGCAAAGTATGGCGGGGCGACTTTGAGAAGACAAACCTTGCCCTTCACAAGAGATATGGTAGCGTCTCTGAGCGTACCGCGGTTATTGGGCGTAGCTGATGTTGGTAGGCTCGATTGTTCGCATTGCGCCCAACTACTATTCCATCGACGATGCAGACGCAATCAAGACGATATATGGGCACGGCACTCAGTTCGTCAAGGGTAGATGGTACATCGCTTCCGGCAACCCGAAGAACGAGAATCCGGACATCTTCACCGAACTGAACCCAGCAGTCCACGCTGAAAACCGACGGAAAGTTGCGTCGTTGTACTCCATGTCGAGTCTTGTGCCCATGGAGCAGAACGCAATCGACTGCGCGAGGATCCTGGTCGACAGGTTCACCGGGTTTGCGGAGAGGCATGTCTCTTTCAACTTGCAAGGTTTGTGTTAACCCAAAGAGACGTCTTTCCCGGTATTGTGAACATTCTGACAAATGCTTAGTCTGGCTGCAGTACTGTAAGTATCCTCGGGAAGCCAGGACTGCTGGGGGTTCTCTCTTCAAAGCCCGGCGCTCGCGATGGTCGTGTCACTGCCACTAACAGCCGCCCAGTCGCGTTCGACACAATCGCTCTCATCACAGTAAGTCAATCAGACTCGGCATATGCCGCCGTTGGCACTGGCTCACATCACCCCTAGCTGAGCAAACGATTCGGTTTCCTCGACACCGGCGAAGACAACGGTGGCATGATTGCCGCCCTCGATCACTATCTTCGCTATCTCACCAAAGTTGGCATCTACCATGAATGGCACTCGTTCCTGACGTGGTGTCTTTCCTTCTGGCCCACGACCGGCACCCGCTACCTGGGTACTTTTACGCAAGAGCAAGTTCGCGAGGGCCAGAGAACCAAGCCAAAGAGCGTACTGGAAAAGGACGAGTCGAAGCCCACAGACGATTTCTTGACAAAGTTGTTGCGGATGAATGCATTGCAGCCGGACAGGTTCCCCATGGGTGCGGTCTTTTCCACATGCATCACAAACATTGGCGCTGGTTCCGACACCACCAGTGTCAGTTTGGCTGGAATTTTGCATCAACTGATGAAATCTCCGGCGACCGTGCAGAAGGTGAGTGTAGACGGCGGTTAAATATGAGTTGCGACGTGGCTGATTTCTCCCAGCTTCGACAAGAGCTCGACCAAGCCATCGAGGAACGCGGCTCCTCGGACATGCTCTCGTTCCAGGAAGCTCAGAAGCTCCCGTACCTTCAGGCCGTAATCAAAGAGGGCTTGCGCTTGCATCCTGCGACAGGCCTTCCGATGGTCCGGGTGGTCCCCAAGGGTGGTGCGACAATCGCTGGTCGTTACTTTCCAGAAAAGGTATGAAGGGTCTTCTCAAACAACCACACAGCCTGTATGATCAACACTAATTGGATTTGGTGCGCAGACCGAAGTCGGTGTCAACACCTGGGTCGCCCACGCCAACCAAAATATGTTCGGAGCGGATGCTGAGGAATTCAGACCGGAGCGCTGGCTCGAAGATGCTGAGAGGGCTGCAGAAATGAATCGAAACATTCTCACGGTACGAAAGACTCAAGTGTCCTGGTCCTCCATACAGGTAAATAAAGGTTGCTGACATGTTGTGTGTCCTTTAGTTCGGAGCCGGCTCCCGCACTTGTATTGGCAAGAACATCAGTCTGCTTGAGATCTCCATCCTGATTCCTGAGCTCGTCAGAAAGTTCGACTTCACCCTTGTTGATCCCCATCGGCCGCTGGAGTCGGAAAATGTGTGGTTCGTCAAGCAGAAGAACCTGGAGTGCTATGTGAGCCTGAGGAAGTAGAGCGCGGCAGGGCGCTCCATGGAGGAAGTCAATGCAGTAGCGGGGTTGTGAAGAGTCTCATTGCAGTTAACATCACTGAGGTTCAATATCGGTAGCTCGATTGCCCTTTTGCGGAGGCTTGAGATATGAGATTGAACAGCTTTCGCGTCTCAATTGCATGGCATTTCGCTCGTCCTTCTTATGGTTTGCGTTTGACCGTTCATCAAGAGGATCGGACTCGCCTCTGTGACTTTTTTAACCGTCCAGGTCGATATGCTGACTCTCTTCAAACACATTGCCTGTAGCCACCATCGACTTTAATATCAGGAATAGTGTCATATGCATGTCCGTAACTCACATAGGGCAATGAGAATGAAGTGGAGTGACTTACGAATCAGTGAAAGAAGACTTGGCCACCTACAATGATGCAGAAGACGGTCGAGCTTGTGGTTAGCCGTCAACCACAAGGCTGAGCGTCAACTGCGCAAGGCTGAACTTCGCAGTCTCCACCAAAGCTTCATTGGCGTCATCGACCTTCATTCATGCTCTTTGTTATATACTGAGAGTCTGCTCTCAGACCGCAGATGTCGAGGAGATATTCACAATGAAGACTTCACCACTGCGTATGCTCGTCTCTCGACGGGTCTGCACTTGCAATCTCTCCCAGCTCCAAGCTGGCCACGCACCTTCGAGCCCTCACCTGATCCGACTTCTCTCGAGCAGTACTAAGCACAATGCCCAACCCAGCTTCACCTCGCCGGTCCCGGGCTACGGCTCGTCCGAGATGCTGCGGCGAAAGTATCAAAAGTCGGAACCGTCCGAATTGGAGAAAGAGAAGGCCGAACGAGCAAGCACGGTCAAACGCATGCGCTACTCGGGCTATGGCATTGCCGCCTGCACGGTAGCAATCTTCGCTACAATCGCACTATACCCCAGTGCCAGTGCGGAACAAGTCATTAGACAAGACGCACCCCCTCCACCGACACCGTCGACGATTCTCGACGAGACCTCCGCGAAGGAAGTCGAGCAGGTCCCGACCGGCACCTCCACCATCCCCTTCTTCCCTCGCATCATCCACATCACCTCCGACGCACCGCCAAGCACGCCCGGCGCTGCAAATGAAGGCAAGACAGACGAAGAATACCAGCTCGTGGGTCTAGGGATTCGCACGGTATCGATGTTCAGCATCCAAGTCTACGTCGGGGGCCTGTACATCGCCGTGTCGGACATTGCGGCGTTGCAACAGCGACTGATCAACGCTGTCGTCCCGCCCAGTCAAAGTGTGGCTACGACCCTGGTGCCGGGCGAAAAGGACCAACTCCGCCAACTCCTCCTCGACCCCACTCGGGGCGAAGACATCTGGAACGAAATCCTCAAAGACGGCCATCTGCGTACGGCTTTCAGGATCGTGCCCACGCGAAACACCGATTTCATGCACCTTCGCGACGGTTTTGTGCGGGGCATAACGGCTCGGTCTGCACATTTCGCATCAGACAGGAACGACTCATCCTTTCAAGACGAGACATTTGGCGCGGCGCTCAACGACTTCAAATCCGCGTTCGGGGGCAGTGCGCGACGGAAATTGCCGAAAGGTGAGATCCTCCTCCTTGTCCGCGACGGGCAAGGTAAACTGTCCGTTTGGGAAGAGACCAGCAAGACGGGCGACCGGGTCAAAATGGGCGATATCAGTGACGAACGAGTGGGTCGGTTGCTGTGGCTGGGATATCTGGCGGGGAAGAAAGTTAGCAGTGAGCCAGCGAGGCAGAATGTTGTGGAGGGATGCATGGAGTTTGTAGAACGCCCAGTGGGAACGGTGGCAACGCAGGTTGTTTGAACTGGGATGACGACGAACGGCGGAGACAAGCAGGAGAAGGGTCTTTGAGTGATCAGAAGGGGAACAAGCCAAGCGAGATTCCATCCCAAGCCCCGGTGCGAGGTGAGTGGGATTGATATTGGTTGCAGTATTAACCTCCGACGATCGACACAATGTATGAACATACCATGGCCTCGGAGAATGCTATTAGCTCGTAGTAAGCATGTACGGAGTATAGTGAATAGGATATCAACTCCCTGTATCCTTGGTTAGCATTCGAAACCGAGTCAAAACCCGAACCGCAATCAGAAGCACGACCAAACGGAGCTCTTTATGCGTTATTCTACCCTGCCATTTACGAACCTTGCAAAAGGTGAAGAGTATACGACATTCTGCTGATAGTACCGCCCCTCAATGTAGATAGATACAAATGCTTACTCACCTACTCCTCCACGTACGTCAGGACTTCTTCGGTCCATCTGCACCCGAGGCATACTTTCATGGCAGCATGGCTAATTATTGCATATATATCTCAAGTATGGAGTAATGTGTTTCCATGAAACCCTAACCCCTCGCATTTCATCCCATCCCATCCATTAATTACTCTACTGAACACTACACAGACAGAGTGATATTTTCGACGAAGCGGTGTCGAGGAACAGACGCAGAGACCCTATTCCCATCCCATCCGTCTGTACTCTACGTACAATACTATACTCCACCCTGCACAGCACAGCACAGACAGAGCGAGAACATTCGAGGAAATTAAGCGATATCCAAGATCAAACCGCACAAAATGTCCTGGCTAGCCCCTGTTCATCCACCCTCTGAACCAAAAGCACAGCCTTCACCATCATCATCAGTATCACAAGCACAACCACAACCACAACCACAACCACAATCTCAACCAGAAGACGCCCGCCGCATCCACCAAATCGTCCGGCTCAACCCGCAAGACTACGCCGCGTACAAAGAATGCCACGCCAAAGTATGGCCCGAAGTGGTGGCGCAGATCCGCGCGTCCAACATCGCGGACTACTCGATCGCCTACGACCGCGACACGTCCCTCCTGTTTGCCTCGTTCAAGTACACGGGGCGGGACTTTGAGGCCGACATGGCCAAGATGCGCGCGCACGAGCCGACGCGCCGCTGGTGGGCCATGACGGATGCGTTTCAGCAGAGCGTGAATCCGGGGGCTGTGAGTTCGGAAAAGGCCGGTACCGTGGGCGAGGATGGGAAGAAGGTTCCGGGATGGTGGAAGGAGTGTGAGGAGTTGTTTTACTTGCCTTAGAAGTGGTGGTGGCTGTGCCTGTACTCGGAACGTAGAAGACGATGATGATGACGATGATGAAGAAGACGTAAAGAAATAATCAGAAGGGCGGCGGTAAGGGAGAGGGAACTCGGGAGACTGACTCTTGTAGCGTAGGACGGAACAGAACAAACCAGGACAGGAACAGTCAGCTGGGCAATGAGTTGTTGGTTGCTTGATTTGCTTGAATCATGGTGTCCTGGTCTATGTAGCTGCGAGCCGCACTGGGTGCTTCGGGGTCTACTTGTCAAGTCGAGCACAGTACAGTCCTCGTGCTCGCCCCTGCTATGGAAGGGCTCACTTTCTCTTTGTTCTTGGGTGTAATCAACCCATCCGAATCAGCTCCATCGGTAACCTCTCCACCATTTTACCACATACGCAGATGCCTCTCTTTCGATGAATGTATACAGAGTAGGTCACTTGTCGTCGCGTTCTTGCGAAGATAGGTTTCAGAAAATCTGTGTGATCTCCAGAGTCGCGAGCATAGGAAGTTCGTCATCTCCACGGAGATTCCTTTCGTTCCAGTTGACCCAGGTATTCAATCACTCACAGCCTAGCCTGGCTTCTGGCTCTTTCAGATCCGACTTCTGCTTCTCCCACTCGCCGGTCTGTCCTCGCTCCACTGCCCCGGACCGTTGTTAGGCTGTTCCCCTGGCTCTGATTGTCATGTCTGATTAACTGATGGCTTCGGAAAAGTGAGGAAATTTGCGCTTGACTACCGGATTGGCGAGCCGTCGGAGGATTTTTTTTCACCTTGCCAAAGATTCATACCAAGGCTAGCCATCGGATACCGCTCTGGAGGCATCGGACATCAATGACCAGAGTTTTGTCGTCCACTCGTTCTGACGGCCACTCGTTCTGACGGCCACTCGTTCTGACGTCCACTCGTTCTGACGTCCACTCGTCCCGCCCTTGGTAACGCGATATAACTTCAAACCAGCCATGGCGAATACCTCTCTGAGTGAGTCTTCGGCGCACCGAACTAAAGACTGTCCGCTTCAGCGCGATTCCCTTGCCTGAGCCCAAGCTACTCCTGTCCGATAGTTAGAACAATGAATCACAGGCCGGGAATTTCGATTTGGATCTCAATGCCGGTGGCTAGCCAGTGTCGGGCTGATCTCAACATCATTCGCCTGACTTGTCGATACCTGCTTGACCCAGCGGTGATTGGTTGATCCGAGGCACATGTCTTGCGAAGATGGAGCTTTCACAAAGATGGACGCTTTCATTGACACATCACCCGTTTGAACTGTAGGAGGCCAGGTCGACGACATGAGGACATGAGTGCAACACTCGCCATACCTGCGTGGCAACGGACATGAAGGCTGAAGTGAACTTTGGCCGAGGTGAAGAACAGGGGCAAAGGATGGGCAAAAACTGGCAGGAAACTGGGCAAGCGACCAGAGCCCACGTCAACTGCGCCCTTCTCTGAACCCGGCAAGGATGGATGTGACAACAGAAGAAGCTGCCCGGCGAGTTGCGCTTACAATCTGTGACAAAGAACGTCCAGGGGATATAGCTTGGGAGACACTGCGACCAACCACTCGAAAGTGCTGATCTCGTCGTAAACCGCTGATGTAGCATGCTTGTCGCTCCTTCTGTCAAGTCGACCGTCAACAAATGTTACATATGTTTCAAGGGCTGTTCTCAGACTTACCCCGATATTTCTTCAGGTCGTCAAACCGACCTTCGCGGCGCGCTTCATGGCGCGTACAGATTCCACGCATGAACGGCACAAGGGACATAGAAAGGGAAATGCGCTGCTTGGAGATATTCTTCTTCAACGTCTCTTCATCTCTATCTCTCTGGTTTTTATGGAAATCTGAGGGTTTTCCTTTCCAATACAGCTGAAACAAACAAGTCCACTCATTGCACGTTGCCTTGCACGCTGCACTGGGCAGGCAGACTCCCCTAGATGGCACCAGCACTCTTCAACAGGTCATTGAGTTGACTCTTCTTGGCCTGCAAGTCACTGTTCCCTCCGATGTGGTTCTGGGCGATGAAGATGTTCGGAACGCTGCGTTGGCCGGTGATCTCCTCGAGGGCGTCTTGTAGGGCTGCGCCATCCTCTGTACCATCGGTCAGTAAAATCTACATTTTCCCCGACCGGCCACTCCAGCGCATCCTCATGCTCCAGACACATACCGACTTGGTCCAACTCCATCAAAAAGTATTTCGCATGCAAATCATTGAGCAAGGCCTTGCTGGCCCGACAGTACGGGCAGTAGCTCTTGGAGAACACGACGACCGAGTTCTCGTCGATGATCTTCTGGGCCTTTTCCTTGGCGGAAACCATGGCTGCCGGGGATGTCCTTGGTGGTGACGTGAAGAAGGTGCGGGCTAGGCTGCGGAAGGGGGAGAAGATTGAGGACGCTATTGTGGCGGTTTGTGGTGGTTGTGTAGTACGTCGTTGGCGATGGTATGGCAAGGAAGGGTGGAGGGCAGTCCGTCAGTGCCTTGATATGTATCTCTGGGGGGGAAGTGCGTTCACGGATGATTGCCAATCGGAAGATGATGAATGATTTGACAGATTGATGCAGTTGAGCGGTTTGGAGTGACAAATCCTGAACCAACGACAATGATGCCATTGCGGGTTTGGGACCCGATAGGGCAACGATTAGCTCATCAGCAGCAGCCCAATTGGGCCTCGACTCCGCAGTCGTGAAAACGGCGTGAGAGGGATGCGACCATCAAGCATGCAGCGGTTCTGATACACAGCAAGGTACGGAGTACCTCTGGACTACTCGTATATCTCAGGTGAATTATTACCATTGCACGGATTTCCATTCAGCGGAATTCGGCCATTAGCTCAGCTTGGGTGAGCCTCACAGCATCTCGCTAGTCGACGCTGAAGGTGGGAGTCCGAGGAAATAGCACGAGTACACCCCACCGCGTCCAGAAATATCGCTTTCACTCCGCCCTCGGCGGGAATGAGAAGATGTTCCAGATCTTGAATTGTAGGCGTACCTATATCTAGGCATGATCAAGCCGACCCCGTCGTGGAACAGTATGGCAATCGCCAAAGGCATGGCTTGCCGCAAGAGAACTCTCTCCTCCCTCAGTCTCACCCTATATGTCGGCCACGATCTTCAACCCATCCCATCCCACCACGTCATGTATCAAAATTCGGTGGACGACAGGAGACCGGCTGTTCTCCTCATCCTGCCTCTTCGCGGACGCAATCGCCCCGATGAAACGTCCCCCCAACACATCACAACCCCAACACGGAAAAGGTGTATCACTTTCGCTAAATTGCAATCAAAGAAACCAGAAGCAGGCGTATGAACCGCCAGAATGACCCAGCCACAAAAGAAACAGCGCAAACGTTTCGTGCTTTTGTACACAAGCAGTCGTACAAGCAGTCTTCTGCGAGTCCGAATCCCTCACATGACCACGCAGCACCCACAACTCTTCTCTTTCACTTTCTCCTCGGTACCGGCGTCCTGCATTCGCTGCACTTGCATCCTGGGAGGCGGTTGCGTAGGCACAGATGTAATGCTTCCCATCCTGGGACTTTGTACCGGATTTGTCACTCTGGGCATGGTGCTGTATCCACCATTCGCGCTGCCTCCAGTGCCGGGCCTGATGCTGCCACTGCCAGAGTTTCTTATGCTTGGCACCGGTTTCAGAGGCCACGCATTGCCACCGTCCTCGCCTGTCCCCTGTTGTTCGGGTGGGGGCGAGGACGGAGGACTGACTGCCGAAGGTGACTTGATCTGTCCGTTGCCCGTATGGATCGCCAGAGGTGAAAAGTTTCGGTCGTATGTCCGTGGCACGGCACCTTCGTCTTCCCATTGGGCTTGTTGTTGTCTTCGTGCATGCGTCGGTATGATCTGTTCTTCGGGAGGGAGCCGAGGATCGGGCTTGTACATGGTTGCGAGCCACGGTGGATCGCCCTCTGGTCGGTTGACCGCCGTCCGCGGGCGATCGAGTTCTCCAGATCTTGTCCCTGGTCTTTGACCTGGTGTGGGTGTGCCGGCAGGTTTGGTGCCTGTCGATGGTTTCCTGATTGTGCCGGATGTCTTCCGGCCCGACGATGTATTGGGCGGTGAGCCTTGGCCCGTCGCAGGTTTGGGTCGGCCTTTTGTGGGTGATGATGCTTTGGGCGTCAGTAGTCTAGATGTAGTAGGTGTCGGCAATAAAGAAGAATCGCCTTCGTCCTGCAAAGGTTGACTCCCGGTACTTCCTCTTCGCATCTTGATCTTCAGCACGGGGATGCCGTCTTCCGGTGTCATACTGTTACTAATGGTACGCTTCCGGACCAGCGGCGTGTCCCGTTCAATCCTCTCTTGTGCTATCGGCAAAGGACTCGATGTCAACACCGGTATCTTTGAACCGGACTTTCTGAGTACCGGGTTCGAGTATATCGGTGATGATGAGGCTTCGGCTGCAATCTCTTCGGGTGTGCGCAGGTCCCAATGGGATCTTTCATCCTCCTCTGCTTCTTGCACCGGTTCTTCTGCGAGTCGCGGTCTTGTGGAGTCTTCCGTGTCGCCTCTGCGAAGCTCGGAATTGCTGCGGTCGTCACTTCGTCGACCCCGGCTTGTGTCTCTCTGCCCACTTTGCGCACTCTTGCCGGTATTCCTCCTAGCCTTTGCCAGGTTGATACCTGCGGCTTGGAGTTCTTCACTTTCGATTTTGGCCAGTTTGTCTCTGTGAATCCAGCCCTCGGGATCGTCCTCGGTCGGCCGGTACATGTTCTCGGGGATGTCATTGTCCGGCTGGTGCTGACTGACATTGCCGCTGCTGGGGTTGCTCTTGTAGAGTTCCAGTAGGCTGTCCGGCTCGCTCCCACTACGTATTAGACTCGCGTCTCGTTGACCCAGCTCTTCAACCCTGCTGTGGGGAGCCACACGTCCGTTGACACTGCCGCTTTCTTTGCGATTGGGGGCCAATGTCGATAATGGTGAACGCGTGGAACCTGACGAGTTTTGGCGGGCGCCGTTTGGGCGACTCTTGTTGGCGGTCGTGTTCTATGCGGTGCAATATGTCAGTGTTTGGATACCGTGGGTCGGCGCGGACAATTTCACCTCTTGACTGGCACCCACTGCATCGAACTGCGACCGCGCCCCATTCACCACCGCAGTCGTCGATCCTGGGGCAACTATTCCCGCCATGACGAGGTCTCACCTATGCTCGTGAGCACGAGTCTGACCGCGTCCGCACCTCAGGATGAATGCGCCATGCGTGTCGGCCGCAACCCCGATGGCCTTCACACGACAGATCACCGTCCCACTTCGCAACAAAAACGTGACCAGCCTAAGCTTGACAGATTCCGGAGAATAGAAGGCTCGCTCGATCGGTCGGAGTGGGCTCAGTTCGCAGGAAGCACTATGCTCGTATCGAGGGGTGTGCAGAATGGCGGTCTGCAGGGGGAGACACGCTTGCCGGTCGCTCCAAGCTGGTCGGCGGAACGGGGAAAGGTGACTAAGATGGAATGCTTCAATGCCGTCGAGAAGGGAACGATGCGTGTTTGATACAGGAAAGAATAAGCACGAAATGTCGCAAGGGTAATTCGATGTGAGAGCAAAGTGCAGGTTGCTTGGTGTCCTGGATTGAACGTCGGGGGCGTTTCTCGCTTAACTCAACCTTGGATTAATTGACCCATGTTCCATGTCAACAAACGTCCACCGATTAGGCAGGAGCGAGCCACATGACATTCACGTACAATAACAGAGTCAAGGTTCATGCAATGCATCTTCCCTTCTTCTCGATGTAACAGATTCCATGTCGTTACTCATCAATTCCCTCTTGGGAAGATTTGTGGTGTATAAGACTGTACAAGCGTGTCCTGTCTTCTCCTGACCAGAAGAGGCTCCTCTCTCTGGATCTGCCTAAGCTCCCCGGTAGGCTTTCAGTGCGTCCTGTCGACCTGAGATTTGCCTGTCTCTGAACCAACCCCCCAGATGCGTATTACTAGATGATTCCTTCCAGATCCCCTCCAGATCTCCGCCGGCTCTCCCTAGCCGTGCTCATACTTGTCCAAATCCCAACCTATCCTGCGCCCCGAGCTCTGCCTTGCTGTCTCAGCTACCGTCAAAAGATTGTGTTTAAACAATTGGACGAATCCAGAACTCCATAGGAAAGATTCGTCCGTCGTATATGTACTTCGAAGTGGGTGTGTCAAGTCCATGTCTTGGACGCTCGGAAAGAAGGAGAGGCTAGATACTCGTGTCCAGCTCTCGAGGGTCGTCAAGTGAGGTCAATACTCCTAGTATGCATTCACCGAGGGCCGTCGAGACGTCATTCGCGGGGCTTCTCGAAGTCGTGAGCGATCATCCGGCTCGCGGTATTCGTATCGGGAATACTGTGGTTCACCGCGAGAAGCGATATGGACCTTGTCGGCGGGGTATGGCCGAGCATAGCGCGACGGCTCCCGTTCATCGGGCGACATGGGAGACATTTCGCCGAAGAGCTTCTCTCGACCGCTGTTGTTGCGCGATATCGACGGTGCATCATGTGGGGAGCGTGGGGGTGGTCTGTCTTCATATCGCCCTGACTCGCTCCTTCGCACCGTCGGAGGAATGAAGTCCTGCATCATGGCAGCGGTCTTCGACGACTTCTTAGTCTCAACACGGGGACGCTCAGGCTTCTCCCTGCGCCGCTCAGAGTCCCGCGGTAGGTCCGGAACAACTGACTCGGGGCTGTGGTGATATCTTCTATTCGGGCGATCTCCGTGATCATCGAACATTTCCCTGACTCTCGGCGTCCGCGCATGGTCATCACCATCGTCGGCGGGATCGACGATGTGGTACTTGGTCGAGGTGGTTGCAGGATATCGCGCCTTGGTTCTTGGGGGACTCTCCTCCCTCATCTCGGGCGTGTGGGGGTTAGAGCTGCTTCCATAGCCAGAGTCGTGCATATGAGTCTCGCCATGCTTCAAATTTGAGCCTTTGGATGGTACAGAGTCTTTCCTCGCCGTCGATGACTTAGGGGTCGGCGTGGTTTGGGCCCGATGCAGGCTAGGAGGTATCCTGCTGCGATGGTCACCGCGTTCTCGCTCTCGCTCTCTGTCCCGGTCTCGCTCGCGTTCACGATCCCTTTCTCTGTCTCGGTCTCGTTCACGCTCACGCGTTGTGGGTCTTGCCGAAACGTGTTCCTCGACGTGGGCTCGGAGATTGGAGGGTGAGGAGGTGGACTTTGTGAAGGGCGGTGCAAAATACTCCTCCGGATTGGAGCGACGTCCCTTGGATGAACTGGGTCTCTTCTCGTTGTCCGAACCACTCTTCCGCCCACTGCCACGAGATTCAGACCCAATCCAGTATTGGTAGGCGTCTGATGCAGTACGCTCCAAGCTGGGACGATTTGCGGCCTTTGCCATATAGGCTTTGCTCTCTTCATGATGCCTCTCCCACTTTTCGTCCAAGCTCTCTTCTTCGAAGTCGCGAGGTCTTTCGGTCCTGGTTGATGTGCGTGTTCGTTCGGACGGTCGATCGAAGTAGGAGGTCGTCTTCGAACGCGAGGACTTCATGGACGGACGGACCTCTGTGTAGTCGGAATCACTCTCCGCATCAACGGCCGTCGGTCTTCTTGTCTCAACCTTTTCCCTCCTTTCTCTCGTCTTCTCCTTGTCAAATCTCTTTTCGTCCGCTTTCCCACTTCTGGACTTTTCTGCCTGACTCTTGAATTTGGCAGCAGCCGCAGCAACGCCGAATACCCCAGCCGAACTTGCCGCCTTCTTCGACTTCTCGGACGCTTTGGGTGGGGGAGGGGCTCGCCTCTCATAATCGGCATGCTTCCGTGAAGTGCCTCGTGGCAACTCGTCATACGGGTCTCGGTGGTCGTCCGCAAACCGAGGTTGGCGAACTTCCTCATAATATTCTCCATACTCGTTGTACTCACGAGTCGAAGGAGGTGCAGGCTGCGGCGCAGGTCTCATTGGGTATGACCGAGTGTTTGACGTGGAGGCGGGTGGCGGCCCACGCATCATGGCCTCTTTTCGCAGCTCGGCGAGACGCACCTGATCATCATAGTGTTGTCTTCGTTGAGGATCGATTAGGATTTCGTAGGCTTCCTGGATCTTCTGAAATTCGTCTTTGCCCTTCTCTCGTTGGGCTTCGTCCTTTATCCGATCCGGGTGGAATTTCAGAGCCAGCTTCCGGTGGGCAGAACGGACAGCAGCAGGGTCAGCATCTTTGGAAACCCCCAAAGCTTCGTAGGGGTTGGGAGGCAACGGCGACGAGGCCATAGCGGTGTGTTGTAATACAGGAGGCCGAAGGAATGGAGACGACCGAGAGTCGGGGTGGATGTGTTGTTTTTGTACAGAGCGGTCAAACGGCGGTCGTGGCGTGGTGCATTATTGTTGGCCTCGGTCGGTGGTCGGGATTCTGGTTGGCAGTCGAAGGTGAGGTGGTTGGTAAAATAGAAATCAGGTTGAATGAATGCAACGCAACAATTACAGTATAAGCAGGAAGAGCTTCTCCGTCGTTCAGGAATCAATCCGCAGTCGCAGACAGATCCGTCAATATCGAGGTATGTGGCGGATGGCAGCGTGAAGCCGCTGACGTCTGGAGAAGAGAAGGAGTCAAGTACTTGACAGAGGGCGAGAACGGGTAACAAATGTCGGACAGTGAAAGGCCCGATGAGGTGGTCTGTGAGCGTGGTCTGTCCTGGGTTCTCGAGCCCTGGCTACCCTGGGCTTCGCCTGGCTTCTTTGCAGGCTTCGTGGCACGCCGGCGTCCCTAGCCGATTGAACGATGGATCGATTCCTGTCCAGCCGACGCCGGATTATGTAAAGGTGGCCGTGCTCGATGCGGCAATTTATGGCATCAAGATGGCTTGGAGAGGTGGAATCTGGTTATCGACATGCCATCACTGGCCAACGTGTCAAGAGGTGAGTGAGAAGTGAGTGTTGACCGAGACGCGTAGCACGTTGGGTTGAGAAGGGACGGGTCTATGGATGAAAAGGCACGAGATAGAGTTCAACGTCAACGCGGGAAGGCCCCTTCACCTGAAGTTCCTCGGGAGGCAAATAAAATGCTTCGTCTCGTTATGGATGGAGGGCCTCTCCGATTGAGCATTCCGCTGAGTGGTGGTGACTGCTTCCCCTACGAGCTACAGAGCCGCTAATCCCCATCACGCTGCATCTTCCAATGCCTGTGCTTCGGACTCTGAGGTGAGAAGAAAAGTCACAGTCCACCGCCTGTGGGCGTACGCTCGTATGGAAGGCGTGAGAAGTTTGGCTGTGCAAAACTCGGTGCTGGATACTACGGAGGGCGGAGATGGAAGCCAAAAAGAAAAGTGGAGCGTAAGAAAAGAGGCGCTGTCGGCTGTCGTCATTTGCCAGGAGGACTCCTTTCAGTTAGGCGCTACCCTGATTAGACAGCACTTCCCTGCTTGGAGGCGTAGTCCGACCAGGCTCCCCGAGCCGATCGCTAGCCTCAGAAGCAATATCGTCCGGGTGCTCCTAGGCGACCCAGGGCACGAGGACAGGGACACTTGGAACTCTGCCCCCCCAATATTAACCCCGCCCAGGGTTGGTCCATGCTCCCAACGTCGGTTCCTGCGTGCCTGTGAAAATCTCTGTTTGCCTCCGTTGTCCAACGTGGCGTGTCCTGACGATCGATTCCGGGGTACCAGTGCTCCTGACGATGAATAGGTGGCACCACCCGTTTAGGAGATCGTAGCTGGGGACAATTATCCAGGACGAGTATCGAGACACGCCCTGTAGCCCAACCATGACAACGATCATCAGTGGGTTGGCGACTGCCCGCGCGAAGTCCTGGGCACACGGATAGAAGACTGAGTGACTGATCAGTGAGGTATGACTTGGGTTGCACCCAGCTGACCAGAGATCGCTCTGCTTCCTGCTTGCTTCTTTGGGTCCCCACACGATCGGAGACGCTGAGTTGCATGATTCGCAGACCAGATGAACAGCCAGTACACTACACTCAGCTATCGGCGATGGTGAGAACAGTGCTCTGGTGGTCACCTAGTGCTGAGTGCTGAGTGGTGCTGCGCTGCATTTTCGTAACGCCAGGCAGGCAGACACAGCGACAAACAACCCCAAACCTGAACGAATCTCGCCCGCCTGCATCAACGTGTCACGCTTCACAATGACAGCAAAGACCTACTGGTCCCATGGTGTCTCTTCCCCACGAAGCTCCGGCTCTGCACATGCAGGTCGCGGGCCATCTCCTCGAATACCATCCTCTGAATCTTGTGACCCTGTTCTTACTCGCCCACGTTGTGCCACAAGTCACTTCTGGCCCATCGAGCAAGTCATTCTCTGGTGAGAAAGCGTGCATAAGTCTTCACTCCACTTCTCGCAGAGTAGGGTCTCGCATTGGCGGAGTCTATCATTCTGACCATTCCGCACATCTCTATTCACCCTAGCTTATGAGGCGCAGCTCGACCTTGTTGCTACTCGTCGATTTCAGGACGGCAAATTCAATGCATGACCCAAGTCGAAGACAGACCAGAGCGTGTCCAGGCGAGCTTGCAGATGATAGTGATGGATATCGACTTCGATGCCGAGTACGGTTCACGAATCAAATGCCTACCAGCAGCGACAGCCAATCCAAGCTTCATCACCTTCACACCCCTCAACCTTTTCCGTCCCAAACCTACACCTTCTCCACCATCAGCCAACCGAGCGGGCCTTCAAGCGGACCGCACCCCAGACCCGTCAGGATGCCCAAGGGGAAACTTGACCAATACCGAAGATGCTTGCACTCTATTGGCGGAATCGAGCCCAGCGTCCAGGCTCATTTCGTGACTGGAAGGCAATAACGCAGGAAGATGCGCCATGCAATATGGAGGAGGAGTCAAAACATTGCCTTCATGGTGAGGCTCCAAGGGCTCGATGATGCCTGCATCTTCGATCCTATCATGCACCCCGCGACGATTTCGACTTTCAAGATGTCATCATAGCTGCTGTTGCTGAAGCTCCGTAAAGGTGGTGCGAAACGCATCCAAAGTCAAGTCACGGCGACACATGAGCTGGGCGAGTAAAATATGCCTGAGAACAGCTCAAAATATCCGGGCGTGCCACGAGCGCCTGGTCCGCCAATGATGATAGATGCCACCAATGTTCCCGCCAAATGGTTCCTTGCATGCCACACATGTACCGCGAGGCTTTCACATGTAGGTGCGTATCTGCAGCCCAGATCCCGTACCACTACAGTCCCAGCTGTCAGAAGACTAGCCTCTGGCTCACAGCCGCAAGGTTCAGAGCGGCTACACCTCGAAATTGAACACGAAAAAGGTTTCTACACGAGTTAGAGCATCCTCTCGAATATGCAGCGGATCCGACCTTCGAGGGTGTGCCAAATTTCGAGTTGATCGTTCAGTTTGTGCTCGAGCACCATGCTACCAGGTATTGGCTCGACTGTGCTGCTAAGTGACGAGATTGTTTCGGCGGCAACATGGATCAGTCCAGTTGCGGCATCTCAGTCCTGTGTAACAACACCCAGACGGAACGTGAGTTTGGTTGCACAAGTCACTCGATCGAAGCAACGGCAGTACGGCAGCCACTGTGACAGCCCTTGGGCTGGAATATTTCAGCCTCATCACAATACGGCTGAGGCGTCGAGGCCCAAAATGATGGCTTCAACGCTACACGAGGGCGTCGACCTGACGGTGACCACCAGCACACGACAGGCAGCTTCGGTACGTAATTCCGTTTATCAATTGGAGCAATCGTTGCGGGAGATATGGTTCGCCACAGTGGTGGCTGGTGCCTGTGCGGAGGATCGCAGCAGTCCTTCGCGTCCGGAGATACCCCTTCTGCTTGCGCGCCGACGAACGTTGCCATCGTGGCTTAGAGCGCTCGCATCTGGCAACGCCCACCCAGTGAATGGCGAGAGCCATTAGAGATCCCGCTTTGACACCATTCCAACCTTGTCAAGTGGTCGATTGATCTCGAGGATGAGGAACCTGAGGGCGTCGTGTCTGCCTGGGCTGGTGCCTTGCATGCGCCAAACGCCCCTCTGCGTAATTTCAGTCACTGCGGAGGAGCATTCGCAAGCCAGTGGCAAACGTTGGAAAGGGTTCCGACTCGGTGCGTGGGTGCATCAGGCAAAACACGGCATCAGAGTGCCAGAGGCAGAGGCAGTGAAGGTTCCGATCTCCACCGACATGAAGCACGGTCGATTTGTTTCTGATGCAGGAAACACGAGACGTCGACGGGAACGAAGATGATCAAAATTCAGGAGCAAATGCTGACGTTCAAGCCGAACAAAACGCCGACTCGTTTAGATTGTCAACCAGAACTATTACCTGAGCGCTGCTGGAGGGTCTTGTCTCTTTGTCTCATATCAGTTTGTGCCATTTCGAGTGTCCTACCTTACGAGCTTCAACTCCAACTACGAGCACTCGTAGTCGTACCCGTACCCGTACTGTGACCTTTTCCGACTCCGGGCCAAGTTAGGATAGGTGATGCATGATTGGCCTTCGCGATGACTTCCAGCTGCGTAAAAGCGCCGAGGGATACGAGCTTTTGCCTCCACCTCGCCACCATCCATCAGGCAAACAACAGCAGGCAAAGGTGTGACACGCTCATATTCTCCATCGCAAAGCAACTCACGAGTAGTACTCGTACTCGTACGAGCACCCAGTAAGGCCCTCCCCTCGACGCGTGTTTGGATCCAGCAAGAGGATAGTACTCGTCCTGTACCATCATTCGTGGCGCTATGGTCTGCGGGTGAAAGGCGGGATAGGCAACAGTCTTGCTGCCATGTATGTACGAGTACTACGATTGGCCAACTCACACAATCGAGCGGGAAGGAAGTCGTCGCTGCGGAGTACGCGTACTCGTACGAGTGCCCTGACGAGCCTGATTTCAGCAAGCCTTGCACGCTCAGACGCCGTGACGCCCTGGTGGGTTCGGAGACGAGGACAGTTACGGAGTACACCAGAGTCTTGTCCGAACTTCTCTCTCGTTGCCACATGCTAAAGGCTTTGCTGGGACGTCGATACCACGGGATTCAACTCTACCCCACACTCGTCGTATTGATGTGCTCCGAGCTGTGTGAGACCAACGAATCTCGATCAGATAATGTTACTGTATGGGCATTGTCATTGTCAATGTGACCATGGTTGTGATTGTGACGGCGACCGGGACCATGTGCAAAACACTGCGGCTAAACTGAACTCCCAACAGAACCTTTGATCTCGACGTTCACCAAGAAGACATCAGCATGTGAGTGCAAAACAGACCAGCTAAACTGAACTCCAAACAGAGTTTTTCATCTTGTCGTTCACCAAGAAGACATCAACTTGTGAGTGCGTGTCCTGTAGCATTGAGGACAATGAACGTCACCTCTATGATCACTTATCGCGTTGGCTTCAGGATCCGACTACCAACGTTGTAGAAAGACGGACGCTGGACGGAAGGCCATCACTGATTTATTGTAGCATCGAAATGTAAATACTGTTTATGTTGACAATGTAAGGCTCTGAAATACGTATACTGCGCGCCAGCGCCAGCGTCGGGGTCATCAGACGCATTTCGTTGTGGCCAGTTAAAGCATGCCATTGTCTCGCGTTGACCGTCCTGTCTAAGTATACTGTATCCTCCTCCCTCCACTATCAGTATGCGTGGGCATAACTACCCGCACTGCCATTGTCAAGCAGGATCCGCTGGTATCACCGCGTTCATTGTCAAGTAGAATCTATTGGTATCACCGTATTCATCGTCAAGTAGAATCAACTAGTGCCACCGCATTCATTGTCAAGTAGAATCCGCTAGAATCTATGCTAGTATCAATGCCAGGATCGATGTATGTCGTTTAGAGACGGGCGGCGTGATTGCTGTCCAGCGTGCCAGCTTGCTAGACGATGCATGTGCGTAGCAATCAGAACCTGGCGTGTTTGGCCTGATCTCGGTTTGATGTGACAGTTCTGTTTGCTTGCCGCTATTCCTATCGTCATGCATCGCTGTCCATCACTATCGCTATCGCCATCCATCGCCGTTGCCACCGCCACCCATCGCCGTCGCTATTCATCGCCATCGCCATCACTATTATCTCGTCAGTAATGGTGGATGTCTTGGGTCGGAACCGCTCTCACCGTTCTCTCTAACTGACCACCTAGCTACAGTAGCTACAACAGCTAGTTGTTGGTCGCCGCCTGAGTCTGAGACTGTTGTGCCTGAGTCTGGGACTGTAGTGCCTGAGTCTGAGACTGTTGTGCCTGAGTCTGGGACTGTAGTGCCTGAGTCTGAGGCTGTTGTGCCTGAGTCTGAGACTGCTGTGCCTGAGTCTGAGACTGCTGTGCCTGAGTCTGGGACTGCTGTGCCGCCCGCCTGGCCCCCCGTCGTCTCTGGGGCCGGGTCCTCGACGTGGCATACCAGATCATGGCATGGATCGCCTTTTCCCTGACGAACAGCCGTTCCTCGGGTCCGTTGCAAGGCATGGCAAAGACCTCTGGGTAGATGGTGCTGACTTCGGCGGTCGTGTCCTCTCGTCGCTTTTGGCCCTCTCTCGTGCGCAGGTTGGTCGGGCCGTCACGCTGCCAGATGCGCACCACTCGTTCCATGATCACTCTGGCTTTCTGGGATGGGACGCCGAGGAGGCCTAGAGCCTCGATGATGCGGGGTTTGGTGCGCAGGTATGGCGATTTGGCGTTTCTGTCGTTGCAGAGTCGGAAGAAGGCTTCGGTGCGCTGAGCGGTGACTTGTGTTGGAGCAGACATTGTAATTTGTGGTTTGTGGTTTGTGGCTGGTCGGCGTCAGGTACAGGATGTAAGGAATTGAGGCGGGTCGACGCCAAGGGTAGGATATATGAGGCGATTAGTGGCTGGTCGGTGTCAAGGACAGGATATGTGAGGACGTTGTGTACTGGTCGACGTCAGGTACAGGATGTGTGAGGAATTGAGGCTGATCAACGTCAAGGATAGAATGTGTGAGGGATTTGTGGCTGGTCGACGTCTAGTACAGGATCTCTGAGGATACTGGTAGTAGGTTAATGTCAAGGACAAGATATGTGAGGACTTTATATGCTGGTCGACGTTAAGGACAGGATATGTGATGAAGTTTGTGACTGGTCGACGTCAGGTACAGGACGTGTAAGGAATTGAGGCTGGTCGACGTCAGGTACAGGATGTGTGAGGATACTGGTGACTGGTCGACGTCAGGTACAGGATATGTGAGGACGTTGTGTGCTGGCCGACGTCAAGGACACGATATGTGAGGAAGTGACTGAGATTGTGCTGAGTTAACAGGCGCTCAGCAGCTGGCAAAACTGCTAACGACAGCGGATGTCTTTCTGGCAATGGATCAAGAGGGAGAGAGAGACAGTTTGTCTGAGGGCAGGCAAATCCTTTATACCCCTGTGTTGTACTGAGAGCCGCGATGGGAGCTCGCCGTCACCCTGCCAAGCTGAGGTATACGTGATGTCGAGTGAAATTTCACCAGCGAAGAGTCACCTCAGAGACAGAATCGATTAGTCTAGTGAATATAAGGTCGAGCGCGGACAATATCACTAACGTAGATAGTCATGTAACCCCGGGTCCGGAAGGCTCTAGGGACGGTGGCTTAAAGAGCGCGGGATGGAGGACGTGACCTTTGGGAATAATATACACCCTAGAGGAAGAATCAATTAGTCTAGTGAATGTAAGGTCAACCGCGGACAATATCACCAACATAGGTACCTATGTAGTCACGTAGCCCCTGGTCCGGAGGGCTCCAGTGACGATAATGTTGAGAGCGCGGCGGTATGGAGGACGCGGCCCTAGAAACGAGACGACAACCTTCATTGTAACGGCCATTGTTCTCGCGTCGACCGACGTCTTCCTATCATTGTTCCTCCACTGACATCCCTTGCCCTCGATACGCTACTGGCCGTTGCGCATGTAATGGGAGTCTTATGAGCTGTAGGGTTAAGTCCAGCTCAGGGTCCTCATTGTCGATAGCGTACAGATAGAAGGCATCTGTCGTAGCATGACCCTGACGTGAACCCTAGAAGACGCGATTCAGAGCCTCTTGGCCGTGGATATAGGAGTCGACACCGTCATCGGCAACGCGTACAAACACCAGTTTCGATCCCTGCCACCCCTTCAATCGAGACCGCATCGCCAGGAATGACTTTGTCTCGAGTTCTTTGACACTGGGCGCGCCTCCACCATGGGCGAGGACGCTCACCATGTTGAGTAACTCAACGCCTGGGTCGCTGAGTAGAAATTGATGAGCAGTCTTTGGCTGATTGAAACCCTCTGCTGCGTTCGTCGCCGTGAGAGGTGGCTGTGAGACACCTTTCGCGTAGTGGTCGTTGGCAATGCGGGCCTCTCACTCTTTCTACATCCTCCGGAGTTTGGTGATGGCAATTACAAGGATTGCATTCGGCGCCTTACTCTCGGATAAACCTCTCCTCTTCCTCGCCCGCACAAGCCATCTCAAACACCCCTGCGTGCTGTGCGCAGAGTTCCGCCATTGCATTTTCGCGTCGCTTGCGGAGTTTGGCTGAGTTGCGTTTGCGGTTGGGGTTGGCGTGGCCTCCACGATCCCAGATCTCGGTGGCCGTGCTGATGATTTCGTAGAGGTGGTCTTTGGTAATGCCCAGAAGTCCCAGCACAGGTTCTATACTCTGCCACGGGCATGTTTCCGAACCAGTCTTCAGTTCTCACTGGTGCTGTTGCCATCGTGTCGGATAGGAGGATCGGCGGGTGATTGTGGGCTGTGCAGAGATGTGCTTTGGCGAAGCGACAGGTAGCGAGCGATGGTGAGTGCGCGGCGAGCCGATTGTTGTTATCTATATCAGGGATGTGAGGACCGCGAGGTTCTCATTGCGCGGTGGCTTGAAGTTGACTGCTGTCGCTCACTCACTCACGAACGAGAGCCCCGAAGTCTCTCACAGCCGCGCGGAAGCCATGCTCGAATTCCCAGCCGAAAGGACACCTTTGAGCATCTGCGACTCCGGCTTCACGCATACGTTTGAGGATCCACAGATCCAAGGCACCAATAAAGTCGGCGCCGACTTTTGCATTCGGATCCGTGGGAGCTGAGCTTACACTGCTTCGAAGGGCGGAAGGAATAAATCGATCAAGCCTGGCTGCGAAGAAAGTTCGAGCGTCGCTCCATCCCAGGTTCCAGCCATCTGCGTATCGCCAATGCTCGAAGTGGGCCCCTGGATTTGCCGAACTGTGGTATGCGGTATGTCCATACAGAGCTGCTTCGAGAAGCTGGCCTTTTCTTGCGTCCGCTTGGGCCAGCTTGTCGGTGATGTTCCCAACGGTCAGCTTGAATATTCCGGGTGGAGCAATCTGGCCATTGTCGGTCGAAGCCTTGAATCCCCATTCCCAGCCCGGCATCCATTCCATCTTGAATGTCCAAAACGCCGATCCGCAAGCCTTGGTCTGCCATGTCTGACTCTGAGCAAGTCCGAACTGCTTCATCAGATCGTCTTTCTGGTCGGCGGGAGCTTTGCCCCAGGTTTGTGGGGCCAACGCAAGGCTGTACTCGCCAATATACACCCCCACGGCAGCTTGGTGGGCGAAGACATCCCCAACGAGGCTTGAATTCAGTTCTGGAAGCTCAGACTTGACCTGTTCGATGATTTCAAAGGGCGAGCGGGAGGTGTCCTTCTCATCAAATGTCCAATACTTGTGTGTGTCCACGATGACTGGGCATTTCGGTGGGAAACTGGGGTTGTTGTACGCTCGAGTGAAGGCGGCTGCGCGCCCCAGGTCCCACCCATCGCTTATATATACCGGTAGTGAGGCATCAATTGCCGATATCCGCTGAATCATGTCGTTATACCATTCATACATACCAGGCGGATCGATGATGGCTTCATTACAAAGTTGGACCCCAATAACGCCGGCCAGTTGCGGGTCTCGAGCAGTCTCATCGGCGATGAAGAGAAGGCAACGAGTGGCAAGGTCCAGGAAGAATCCGTTGCCCCACAGTTCAGCCTTACCACTGCTCGTACCGGAATGAGTCTCATGGTTGGCACCACCCGGCACACCGTGCAGGTCGACGAGGACACCAATGCCGTGCTCAAAGCAACGGGAAATCAGACGTTTAACAACCGACCAAGCGTTGACATATACTTCGGATGGTGGGCCATGAAAGGCCGTGTGGGCACAAAAGGCGGGCCCGAGGGTGAAATAGCCAACTGGCAGACGGATGGAATTGCAATGAGCGGAGTTGACAAGCCAGTCGAAGTCTGCGTCGGTGAGTGCGGCGTTCCAGTGCGCCTCCCACTTCTGGCGGGTGGCGTCGAGGCCGCGGGCCTTGATAGACCTGAGCAGGTGAAGGGTGAATAGCCGCACATTGTAATGCGGAGCACAAAGACTCACGCATTGACGGCGTCCAACTCGCTGCTCCCTCCAACGCCCTCGTCGTACATTCCCCCAAAGAGCCATTGTTCAAGGATGAAAATACTGCCGAGGTTGCAGCCATGTTGGTAGCGGTAGCGAAGGATGTCCCTCGGCGTCGGCTGGACGGGATGAGGAGATGACATCGGATGTTGTTGTTGTCCACCCATCGAGGGACCGGGATAGTATTGTTGCGATGGAGGCGGTGGCGGTAACGCTGGCTCGAACATCTGGTAAGCCCGCCGTGCTGCAGAGCTAGAAATGAAAGCCTGTCCTCGGAACGTTCGGCAGCACCACAGGCCATCTCACACCCACTTGTTTCTGATGCTGAACAGGCGGCATAGACGGCGATGGAGACAGTAGATATATGTCTCATCTCTTTGTGTCTTTGTGCGGCTCCAACGGTCCAACATTTTCAAGTTGTTGAAAGCAGAAAACACAAGTGAAGGCAATATACAAGAAAGCAACTAAAGCAAGAAGAACGTACCCGTGGGTTCATCCTTCACACCTACTGCTTCTTTGAGCTCCTGGAAGGCGTTTTTGAAAGCTTTCCTCATGTTTGGCTGCTGAGGCTATGCTGTTCCCGGCACTACGAGCAGTCTTCGTGAAATGCGAGGTAAGAAGCGAAGAGCAAATGTTTGACGATAGTAGAGATACAGGCATGCAGGAGGATTGTCTGCGCGAGATGGATTTCTTGCTGGAAGAAGTGCCAAGCCCGGAACACCGCCCATGACGACGCGCCTAGGCGCTTGTTCTATCAAGGCTAGGCGCTCGGATAGGCGGCCGGATCGGCCCCGCGGCTACCGAGGACTTTATTGTTAGGCACCCTCGCACCCTCGCACCCTCGCACCCCAGGCAAGGTGTGGCTAGCTGATATGAATATGGATAGAGCATCCCCGGGTATCCAAGAGTGACGAACCCAAGACACCTCACTGTAGGATCAGAACAGTGACTCTCAATCTGCACTTATACCTATTGACGGTGCCGGGGCACTCCGTCCTGTGACTATGGCTGCAGAGACCAGACGAAAGCTGACGCCTGAGGATGAGGACTGCCGGGTTCGGTGCTTATGCATACTTATCGATTTTTGGACCATTCAGTGTGGTGAGTCCGCGGGTCGTCAGCAGAACAGAGGGCTACGACTCCATGCCCGGCTTGATTTTGATGTAGCGGCGAGACGCTCTCGGTAATCTGCGGCGTTTCTGTGTGAGCTAGTCCATGGACACGACTCCGTCCGGCGCTGCAGCCTGGATGGGCGTGTCGACTCAGTCTCGGTGGTCATATTCACACTAGGAGCGAGATCTGCACCTTCCAACAAGCTTCCCATCATGAGCCCATCCATGTTGCATAGTTGTCTTGGCCCACCCAAAACGGGATATCGAAACCTTGGAGAGGATCAAGCCCATCGTTTGGAAACATGGGCAATTCGGTCCCCAGATCCATACCAATGCCCAGCCCGAGCCACGAGTTCCCAGGCATGACATCAGGGTAGAGCGCCGTTTGTGCACCATTTGCTTCAAGTGCAGGAGTTTCGCACGATGCTGGAACGTCATGGATGCTCGAAGCTTGCTGACTGTGACCCTTTGTAGGAACATGCGGCGGTGACATGCTCGCCGAGCTGACGGGCTGCGCTGTCGATGGATGCATCGCTGGTACGGAGTCATCACGGTCTGATGCTGGTAATGCGAAGCGTTTACCGGATTGATGAGCAGAGGTCTGGCCCATAGATTGCTCCTTGCGTGTCTCGTCCAAGGTTGAGCGAAGGTCTCGGATCGCAACAGCGCAAGCTGTAGGCCAGACGTTGCCCCTCGCGGCGAGAGTGGTCAGAACGTGCAGCGCTCGGTCTGTGTTCCTGTTGCCCCCATGTCAGCGGACTGGACCGCTCTCGGCCGGTTGCCTACGCAAACCTTGACGAAACAGACTTACCGGACAGCAACATTATAGTCAATCTCCGACTCCAGTGCGGCATACAATATGATGAACGCGCTCATCCAGATCGACCATGTAAACGAGGGCCAGAACATGGGGAAATGTGGGTTTCGAGTACGGTCGGGTGGGTTGTAAGCCGGCATCACTGAATGAGCAACCATGTTCAGCGCTTTGATGATTGATTTTGAAGCCGAGATGCAGGACTGCAAGGCGGCTGCGTAGTTTGCGCTGGTCTTCGACGCAGCCAGCAAAGGACGATTGAGCGAGATGACAGATTCGTGTTTGAGCACTTTCAAGACGGTCTGATGGAGATCCGACAATGGCGTGTCATGTAACTCGGCCTGCTCGATAGAATCCTCGACTTGGTTCCACCATTGCGTCAGTTTTGCATTGATCAACACGGCTTTGTCCCAGCCTTCTGCTCGATATTCCACTCTCTTGTTCCGAAGTTCCATTATAAGGCCTCTGATTTCTGCATGCTTCGCTATCAGTGTCAGAAGCCTGAGGCGGCCATCCTGCTGCGACGAAGCATCGGGCGACGGGCTGTCGGGCCTCGATGTCGAGCCGTTGCTTCGCTGGAGGGTATGGATCTCATTGTCCGGGTAACATACGTCCACGTCATCATCACGAATCGTCAGTGGTAGGCCCAATGCCTGGCAGATGTGTCGATCGATGCAGTAGATCGACCAAAAGAGGCGTCTTCGAAGCTGCTGCTCTTCCGCCTTGAAGGACGCGAACCGTGCAGGACAGCGATGCAGACCCAGTTGGAACAACACCCTGATGATCAGGCCACCAAGTCTCGAAGCGGCATTCAGGCGTAGCATCGACACTAGGAACAGTTGCACACATACAGCAGCCTGAAGCGCCTGAAGGGTGGCTGGTTTCGACATCACGGCATGGACGCTGTTGAGTGCCTCTTCGAACGAGGTAAAGACCAAAGCCTTGGGGACAGGTCTGCTAACAGTGTTTGTCTGGCGCCGGTCCGCGAGGGCAATCGAGACCACGGCCTTGATGATTGTGACATCGAAGGGGCTCACCGCTGCAATGCCATTGTGTGCCAGGGTCTCGAATCTCTCCAGCATGCTTGGAGCGTGAAGAAAGGGGAACGGCGGGTGCCAGACGTCGAAGTAACTACTGGTCCAGTCAAGAAGGTCATCAAAGGTGATGGAAGTCGTGGGCGAAGCTGCGTGCCACTCCACTTCATGAGATTGCCATAGTGGTTTGGATGGCCCACTATCAGGGCCAGTGTTGAGTCGGTCGTCCTCTCCAGGGACGATGTTGCTCTCAGGTGTCTCCCCTGGAAAGTTTCTTGAGCTTGCCCTCGCATTCAGGGCACCATAGACGGAACGGATGAAGTGTATGCCACTAGCACTGCCGACAAAACTGGCGGAGTCTCGACCGGAGCCATCTCGCATGAAACCCACTTCAATCGAAGGAATCAACCTCGGCCGCTTGGTGGGCCGAGTCTCCTCGACACCAGCATCGCCGTTCGCAGGCGAGGGTATGCGATGCGACGCGTCCATCACCGACGCTCACCTGGAAGCAGGAGGAACTCTTGACGTGAAGAGAAGAGAGATAGATTGGTGGGGGCCTTGGGGACGTGCCGAGGAAGCCCGGGAAGCTGAGCCGAGGGAGTCCACGCCTGGAGGAAACTTTGTCCGGGCGCGCCTATGAATAAGCGTCTTAGGCTAGTTCGGTGGTTAGGGGGCTTCCTGGGGAATATCAAACACCTAAGGTACCCGGTACAGTCCTTTCCCCGGACAAAGTCTCAAATCATTATCCACTCCGCAACAATGGCCAGTCAACTTAGCAGCGAAACAAGACCAGGTGCCATTGCATGTGAATCGTGCCGCAGTAAAAAGTGCAAGGTCGGTTGTCTCCCAATCGCTTGTTGGCAAAGTTCTTGATACTAATTTCCCGCCAGTGCGACAAGAAACTGTGGAAGCTCACCAGTCCCCCGATCGTGGACTTCTGGCTAACATCTGCTGGAAGGCCAGCATGTACTCAATGCCTCAGCGCCGGCGCCTCATGCACGTATCCAGAGAGCAACAAACGGTGGGTAATGCCGCTTCAAGTGTATACAAGTGGTGGAGAATGTGCCGTTGACCTGAGAGCGCTGTCCGCGTCCCTACAGCGGATTCCCACCCGGATACATCGCAGGGCTTGAGAAGCGGCTTCTCGAGACCGAGCTCGCCCTATTCGATACTTTGGCGTTACTCTCCCAGTACGAGGACAGACAGCATTCACCGCGTCATAGGAACCCTGGCGCCCAGTTTCCCAACGGACATGCCTCCACAATATCCAGCGAGCTGCTCGCAAGCCACGTCACGCATCAAGCGAAGATATCCAGTTTGGAGGAATGGGCGCAGCTACCGCTTGCCTCTGAAGCGCAGAGGCGTAGATGGTTTGAGAAGAAGAGGACGGATTTGGAAACGTTGACTTCTGGGGAGCCATTGTCGGATGCGCCGAAATCACAACAGCAGCAGCCACAATTCCTGCCTTCCGCTGCCGTCAACGCTGCTCGCCTGGTGCGGATGTCCAGCTCGTCCTCTTCTGCGAACGGAACCTTAGATCCCTCATCGCCTCATCACCTGCAGACACCGAGTCAAGTACAAGGCCAGGGAGCCGGACAGCAACAGGGTTCGGCTTCACCAATAGCCGAGAGCACCAGTCAGGCCCAGCGACTTTCGGCGACCCAGTGGCGCCGGTTCTTCTGAGAAAGGAGAACCCGACTCAGGTCGGCATGCAATGAACATCTCTTGATCCACGTGGCATATTTCATCTTGTGTCAGCAGGGTCCTGCTCCTGAGTCGACGTGGTCTCTAAGCTAGCTCACGCAGCAGCCGTTCCTACGACAGCCTCATCCGTGGCTGGCAATCCCGTGCTGTTGATCTCGCGAGACACCCCCTCCCAACCATTCGTCGCCACCCATTCCCGTCCACCTGGCTGCTCAACCATAAATCCACTGAAGAATTTTTCCATGCTCTCGTAATCATCCATCTCCCCGACCCAACTGACATACTGATCCGGCCGGAGAATAACAGCACATCCTTTCTCCCTGTCGACGCCGTAATGGTTATACGCGTCGCCATACCCTTCATGGTAAGAGACATCGTCGACAAAGATCTTCCAGTAGTCCCAGCCGTCATTGTCGTCCCAAGGATGGAAGACGGGCGGGAAGTCGAAGATGGTGACTTCCTGCCGAGGGGCGGAGTGCACCGAGAGGAGTTCGAAGACGGAATCGTACCGTTTGTTGGGCGGCGTGAAGCGGGTCAAGAAGGATGTCGAAGAGGAGAGCTTCTCGCCCAACTTGTTAATCTTGGTCCTCTGGTCTGGGTTCTTGATATTGCCTGCGAAGACGACGACACGCCACGTGCCGTTGCTCTTCAGCAATTCCTGGAAGTGCCATGGTCGTGCATCGGCTTGGTTGAGGACTTTGAATGACGGCATCCTCATCCCGACCTTGATCTCCGTCGCCAGACCCTGGTTGCTGATGACCCGCAACTTCTCCGCGCCGAGGACTTCTGTGCCATCGCCTTGCTTCGTGCTGTCCCCGGACTTGGCGATCACGATGCTAGCGCCATAGTCGACGGCCACGCCGCTGGCAAAGAGATTGCCCTTTTCGAACGCGCGCTTGAACTCGTCCATGGAAATTCCTTCCTCATCGAGGACGTCTTTGGCAGGTCGGCCGGAGAAGAGGCGCGAGAACCGGTGGTCGAAGTCAATCAAGTCCTGCGCGATTCTGCGGCGTTCGGATTGGTAGGTCTTGAGGATGGAGCGGTCGCTGGTGCCGTTGACGACGCTCGCGACTTTCCACCCCAGGTTGAAAGCTAGGGTAAGGTGTTAGCAATCTCCTTGTTGGGAGAAAGACATTGTTCTCACCGTCCTGCATACTCACGTTCATACCTTGACCAGCCTGCCTCGGGTGTCAGTCATACACTCCATAACCCGCCCATCCAGAGGACATACCTTTGGGCTGTGAGTATGCACGGCGTCACCCGCCAAAAAGATTCGCTCCTTGAGACTGAAGCTGTCTCCTACCCTCTGGCCGATCTGATAGGCTGTCCACCAATCGCAGTACCGATACGTGATCTTGTATGGTCTCATGATCTTTTGGGCGCTCGCAAGGATCGACTCTGGGTTGATCTTGCTCCGGTCCGCCTTCTTGCCACCCCCAGCATTCTCGGTCGTCGTTAACTGGATGTATAATCGTACCAACTTGTTCTCTCTTGGGATGACCATGACGCTCCCACTGCTCTCGCTGTGGATAGCACACCTCATTCGGATGTCAGGAAAGTCCGTGATGGGTACGATGTCAAGGACTCCCCAGATGTAATCGGTACTTTCTCCCTGGAGTTTGAAGCCGAGTTGATTTCTGACCCAACTGTGGGCACCATCCGCGCCGAGCATATACTTGGCCTTCACCGTTTCCTCCCTCCCTGCCTTTGCTTGCAGTAGTTTCGACTTGTCAAGCAGTTCCTGGGTATCATCAGAGGAGAGGTTGCTCCGAAAGAGCCCGTCCTGCAGTCCGGAGCCGTTGAGGCTTGTAGCAGACTGCTTTGGAGTTGCCTCCTGCTCGGTCAGGTGCCGAAGCCTCACAGTGATCGGATAGGCATCCGTGTTTTCAGCCAGGCTCTCGTCAAATTCTAGAGAAGTCGGGAGCACGCCGTGCTCAACGCTAATGCCATCCTCCCAACCCGGTACGTCTTTCAGCGTCCTCTTGGAGTTTTCCGAGATAGAGTCTAGGAAAAATCGCTCGATGCGACCTTGATGTAGAACGACTTGCTGAAATCTCGAAATATTGGGAATGGTATCGGGGATGCGGTCAGAGCGATGGATGATTCCCGTTTTTGGGTCTGGATTCCATAAACAGATCTCCAGCATGTGGTTCGACTCTATCCAAGCCCGGTGCCCAAAGTCGAAACTGTCGAATATTTCAAGCGTACGGCATTGGAGTCCGTCTGCTTGACCATTAAATATCTGATGCAGCGAGTGAGCCTTCTCAGTTCGCTGGGGATCGTCGGTGAGGCTTGCGTACCTTGGTCCCTCGTTTGTCCACGATCCTCGTCCTGATACCACATCGGCTCATCCAATTTGCCATCATGAGCCCTGCAGGGCCTGCTCCAACGATCAAGACATCGACCTCCGAATGGCCGTCTGCGTCACCTGCTCTTTGCGCCATATCGGTCGAGATCTACCCAATTCAGTACTTGGAGACCTTCGAAGCAGAAGTTCCTGGGTGACATGTAGGCTCTTGCAGAATGCTTCATAGTCAATGCTCCTAGATAGCTTGGAAACCTATATAGACGTAAGGCTATTCAAACCGGCGCGTTAACCATCGATCACACGGACGAGGTACACGGAACTGACGAAGCAGGCTGTGGGGTAACGGATCCCCTCGGTTGCGGCACCGGATCAGAGGACAAGGCTGGCTCAGCAAATCCGGGGAATGGTGCCAGAATTGGTTGTTTCCTAGCTGTAATTAATCCATGTCCCATTGGTTGATGTCGTGCATCACGCTTAAGAAAGTCCGAGCTGCACATCGCCCTAGACCGTCATTCCGGTGCGCGGCGAATTTGACATCCTCGTCGCGTTGCTTGCCCCAAGAAGTGAGCCGGAACATTGGAATCCTGGAGACCCCCGCATCAAGCTGATCTCCAGCGGAATGCCAAGCTAGATGTGCATGAACCTCCTGTTAACGTTCCCACATCTTGTTGGTTCCAATCGATCCAGATCAGGCTCGACTGTTTGCTGCCTAGGCGCAATGAAACTTGCCCCTGGCTTCAGGACTCGGGACGGACCAGTTGAAGTCCACTGAGCAGGAAACGATCCGATGCGATAATGCCGGGACGGTGGGTCCGAGACGATTCTCAAAGCCTCTACTACCTCGACGATGAGGACAGTATTGAGGCAATCGCTGAAGCGGTCACCGAACCGAAGTGGCGGCAGCCTAATGTGCGTCGCCAACAGAGACATACACATACCCGAGCACGGCGCCTGCCTCTTCATCAACGAGGAGCCAAAAGTGTTAATGATGACCCGATTGTACGGAACCAGAAGAGTCCGAACGATCGCCATGTAGCGTCGTCACCAAGGCGCGAGCCGGAGCTTGAAGATGACTGCGACGAAATTATGCTGCGGAATTCCATTCTCAAGAGGAAAAGATCTCTCGTATATGCTGATCGCACAAGTCTGCTTGACCAGCCTTTCGTTCAACCTCTGTCAGGGCTCAATCTGGTCATGGGGTATAACACGAGTCTGCCAAGGTCCCGCATGGACATGTACATCACTGTACTACGGCAACTGGTTCGCTGCTGCTCAGAGAGATCTGTCTTGGGGTAAGGGGTGAAAGGGATTTGCTCTTCGGCACCGCTAATCTTTCCAGTCATGACTTGCAACGGGCTATAACTGCGGAAGCAGTGCTCTGGGCAGTGCGAGAGGCGTGGCCAGCGGCTGAAGGGTACTGGAATTTGACTGTAAGTATGGCCAGCCACGAGAGATTCAGGCTTTGTGGAATGGAAGCCTATATGCTGACTGGATCTGGCGTCGAATAGGCTACCTTTCGAGGCTTTCTCTATGCCGAACTCTGGCGAAATTTCCCTTGCGAGCGGTCGTACACGCATCTACCTCCGGCGTACCGTCCTACACGGGCTCAGTTGGCGATACCTCATTCACCAATGATAGACTGGATGCCGTGGCCAGATGTTCGAGATATGGCGATAAAGTTCCAGGATCAGATAGACCTCGATGACTTATTCAGGGTGGCGATCCACAATCTTGTCGCACACCGGAGGGGACTGGGACGGAGAAGGCAATCGTTCCAACAGGATGTCCTCGAACCGAGCCCCAGAATCATCGAGGAAGTGAACGACGAGACCTCGTTCCGTGTCTGGGATGTTGTTTGTTTGGAGAATGTCAGAAGCACAAACCCCTTAGCAGCAGAACCCGGTCTGGAGAAGAAACCTGTGCTGCGCACGCCAGAGTTGCGGGCCCTATCGCGAGCATATGATCTTCAGTATGACGAATTCGACACGCAAAAATTGGACGACGGGTTCTTCGAAGCGTATCCCTGCCTATATGCCGATACCGCAGCTTCAGGGTGGAAAGTGAGAAGCTTTCCCAACTTGCGACAAGTGGATGTCGGTAGGCCTGTTACTTTGACTCGGCCCGCTGTATTCCGCTTGAAGTCGAAGATCGAGGCGCTGGTTGGAGCCCCAATCGAGATTTAGCATCAGTCGGAGCCTTCTCAAATTTCAAGCACAAAAGTCCTTCAACCAACTTCTCGCATGCAAGTCGACTGTGTTACTATACAGTGCCTCAGGCAGGTCAAGCAGATCTGGTCGAGAATCTGCTCTCGCCCAATGTCGTTGATAGAGTATGTCTGAGTCGTGATTTGCTCCCGAATTACCACACGTTTCAGCAGATTCAGTAGCAATGGCGTAGCTCGGAGCACCTTCCAGAGAATCGTGCTGCGCGGCGCTGATGTGGAGACTATGTTCCTTGTTGTAAGGTCCGGCACAGACGTGTTCATGGTTGTTTCCAGCAAGTTCCGGCGGAACGTCAATGTCTGTTTCATCCTCGACATTGGCGCTCGGGGTCGCATCGGGTATATTTGGGCGTCCGGTGGCAGCAATCTGATCTGAAATGGACCCGCATGGCTCAGGAAGCGTTATCGCATCATGCAGTACTTGGCTGTCCTCGTCGACGGATGCGTGTAGCTGCTCCAAGTCATCGTCTTTGTTGCCTTGCTTCGGTTGGCTGCCTCGGGCCGGTGATTTTGCATGAGATGAAAGATGTCGCAGTAATGAGTCTCTATGACCACCCGATATGATTAGCCTTTTCGAATACATCTCTAGAGCACCATTCCCTCACTGTCTTGTGAATGACCGAACACAAATTGGACAAGTGAAAGGGCGGTCCGCCACATGGCTTCTCTTATGCCTGCTCAAGTGGTCATTTCTTTTGAAAGACCGTGAACACACTGTACACTGATATCGAGTCATGCTAATGGTAAGTGGAGGTCCGAAGAAAATCTTTCGAATCTGAATTTGCAACTTCTTCGCTGGTAAGTCCCAGCTGCCAACGAGATACGGATAGAAGTGAGGATTGCAGTTTGAAGCAATGTATGCCGATGGCTGTGTCTGCATAGGCAATTGGCGGTCATTGCGGCAATTGAAGTTCTTATGAGGGAACATTGAGCGACACCAACGAAGTCGGAACTATTGAGGCGGGTATAGCCAATGGTGCCGTACCGCCCGCCCTATTAGTACGGATGAGTATAGCTACCCAATACGTCAACATACACACTCGGCTCTCCCGCCTCTTCCGCTTGTTTGTCTATTGTACCGACTAATACTATCAGGTAAACTGTCGATTCTAGCATGGCGGTCCCCTCAAAGTCTAGATTCCCGGCGAAATTGATGCTCCTACGCGGAGACCACGAGACAACATCAGTCCACCAGTCGAAACTGCCTAACTTTGAGCTTTTTCTGCCGCGACCTTCGAAAGAGCGCGGAGACACCTAGACTCTGTTCTCACCTCGATCCCCAATGAGACGCGCACCTCGATCCTGCCTACTGGTCCAGCTCGCCGCATGCCAGCCCTCCAGCTGACACGACATGGCTATTCCGTCGAGCGTGTTCCCTTTATCGCGTTATCCCCTGGAACCCCGTGATTTTGGCCTCACAAGCAGATGGCAATGTGAGACTGTCAGACTCGACCAGTTCCCGTAGCTAAAATCCCGCTTCTATATCCCTCTCAGACTGTCCCCGTGTGCTACAGTCATCCCCACCGACCCCGGATTCCAGCAGACCGATCGGCGAACTGCGGCACACGACCCGAACTTACGCGAGGCGGCAAGGCCTGCCGCTTCCTGGTGTGCCAGACGAAGCCCAGCCTACTCCGTACTCCTGCGCGTCCTGAACACGACTTACTTTCTTGCGGGGTCCAGAACTGGTATGTAATGGCCCATGCTTGCCTATCTGGGACTGGAACATCCGGACACTCATGTGACATCGAATATCATACCACTACCGAACCACTGCCCTGTCTAGGACGCAATGCTATAGATCATGCTAGCATAACACTTGGTATAGATAGCGCGTCATCTGCGAGCACACGACCTCAGCGAGCCAGCAAGCTATGTATGCTACTCATGAAGCAACTTGAGAATTTAGCACCACCTTTCCATAAGACCCCAGTCGAAAGTCGAACTATTTCCAATGTCAGCCTTCTTCCACGCTCAACCACCACCATCCCCGACAACAGCACGCATTGCCATTATCGGTACCGGCAGCGTTGGATCTGCCATAGCGTACGCCCTCCTCCATGGGTCTCAATATTCTGACCTCCTCCTTGTTGATGCGAACCCCGACAAGCTCGACGCACAGGTGCGTGATCTCTCGGACGCAGCATGCGCAGAAGGAAGTAGCACCCGGGTGAGACGCGCCACGTTACGAGATGCTGCGGGCTGCGATGTCATCGTCATTGCCGCTGGTGTGAAGCGGCGGAGAGGTGAGTGTGCCGGCTATGGCTCGCTGGTGATTGGGTCCTGCTTTCTGGGATCCTCACAGTCAAGCTGATCCACACTTCCAGCCGAAACAAGAGTCCAACAACTCGAGTGCACGACCGCCATCCTCCGCCACATCATCGACGGGATGAAACCGTTTCTTCTCCCCTCGACCATCCTTTTGGTCGTGTCAAATCCCGTGGATGTACTCACCACGCTGGCGTACAGGCTGACGGACCTGTCAAGCTCGCAAGTCCTAGGTCTGGGGACGTATCTCGACACAGTCAGGTTGCGGAGAATCATAGGCGAAGAGCTAAAGGTAGGTCCTTAGCGGCGCAATGCGTCGTATGCTCCGAAAGACAATAGGATTGACCACGTTCTCTCGACTGGGCACAGATTTCACCCGAATCCATCCACGCCGACATCCTAGGCACAAACGACGACAGCCTGCAAGCCGAATCCCCCGCCTGGTCCACGGCCGTCATTACCGGCCTTCCCGTCAGGGAGTCCTCTGTGGTTCTCCCCGACTTCAGCGCCACCGCCGAGACCGAGCTGGCGGCCCGATCCCGGGAGGAAGGCCACCTGATCGCCAATGTCAAAGGCGCGCCAACATTCAGCATCGCGTCGTCGGTCGCGCGCATCATCTCCGCCGTCTTATATGACAACAAGGCGCAGGTCCCGCTGTTTGGACGCATGCCGGACCACGCGACCGCCCTGCCGCCGGGACCCATGCCTATCAGCCATTTCCAGGAGAAGCTAGGCTGTTGCATCAGTCTGCCGGCGCTCTTGGGCCGTGAGGGCGTGGTACGGACGGTGCAAGTGAAGTTGGAGGAGCGGGAGGAGAAGAAACTGGCCAGGGCGGGAGTGAAGGTAAGAGAGACGGTGGAGAGATTGTTGGGAGACGGCACTATAGGTGGTAAGGAGGAGGAGGAGGAATGATAGGTGACGGATCTGGAAATGGTAAGGAGGAGAAATGATCACTTCTTGCTGGTGCTACCCGTGGTCCAGCAGCAAGGTCGCCGAGACAGGAAATTTGTAAGTCGTAGTGTGTTTCGGGGTATATGTAAAAACAAACATAATCACAAGTGTAAGTACCTAATTGTGAGAATAATGATTGATGGTTACAAGCAGAGCCAAGGGAAGGCAAAACTGACAAACATAATGCTGCGAGAGCACCTGTGGCAGATTCCTACATGTATCATGTACATGCTGCCCAAATCATGAGCGATGAATTCCTGCCTCCCACGGACGCGACGTCGCCATATACCACACGTATAAGATTGCTAACGAACACTATGGTGCCATTCATATTGCTTATGTCAGTGTCAATGTCAGTATCAGTATCAGTATCAGTATCAGTATCAGTATCAGTATCAGTATCAGTATCAGT